TGCCTTTCATGAGCACACTTTGTGTCCAATTTAGCAGCCAAGTTTGGATCCACCTAATAGTTTTTCTATCTAGTCCACTTTTTGCTAATTTGTTTATCAGGATATTGTAAGACTCTATGTCAAAAGCTTTGTTAGAGTCTGGGTAGATTATGTCATAAAATGAGATTAAGTTAGTCTGACAGGATCTATTTTTTGATTAATAATAATAATAATAATAATTATTATTATTATTATTACATTTCTATGCCGCCCCTTGCCGAAGCCTCGGGGCGGCTTACAACACATGCCAAATCCATGTTGGCTTTTATTAATCACTGAATTTTCTTCAAGATGCTTGCAGATGGATTTTTTACTAATTTGAATTGTTCCAGGGATTGATGTCAGACCTACTGGTTTATAGTTCCCAGGTTCCTCTTTTTTCCCTTTTTGGAAGATGGGGACAAGGTTAGCCCTTTTCCAGTTGTCTGACACTTCTCCAGTTTTCCAAGATTTATTGAAGATAATAACCAGTGGTTTGAGAGTTCCTCCACTAGCTCTTTTATGACTCTAGGATGGAGTTCATCAGGCCCTGGAGATTTGAATGTGTTTATTCCATCTAGATATTCCTTGACCATGTGTGTGTTAATCTTGAGCTACTGTCTCTCATTTTCAGCTTTTACTTCCTCTTTGCTGTAGATTTCCTTGTGGAAGAAGACTGTGGCAAAGTAAGAATTGAGCACCTTCACCTTTTCTTTGTGGTCTCTTATCACTTTGACATCCACTTTAAGTAGCTGGACACTTCTCTTTCACATGTGTTTTGTTTTGGATGTATCTAAAGAAGGCTTTCTTGTTGTTCTTAGTATCGCTTGCTATTCTCAGTTTATTACCTGTTTTAGCCTTCCTGAAGCCATCCCTACAATACCTTGCTATTTGCTTATATTCTTCCTTCGTGGCCTGGCCCTGGCTCTACCTCCTGCACATGCTCTTTTTAATGTCAGGTTGTCACTTAACTTTTTGTGGGGCCACGTGGGCTTCCTCTGTTGTCTTCTACACTTTCTTTTTGTTTGACTTTTGTTGGACTTAGTTGTGCTTGGAGAATCTTTTTCAAGATTTCCCACCTCTCTTGGAATCCTTTTCCCTTTAGAGTGAGTTGCCATGATACCTTGGTTAGGGGAATTGGTTCTGTTGTCATACTGCCGTGGAATATTTTTCTTTCCCTGTCTATTCCTCTTCCAAGAACTGGAAGGATAGAAGAGAAAACTATTGGAATGCCAATGCTCTTGACTTTCCTCCCTAAAGCTTCAAAGATTGATATGAGTTCTTTAGAGCTCATTGGTTCCACGTGTGTAAGAGGAGAAGGGATACATGACAGTAGACAGTATGAGTCTTGGCTATCTTTCAGTTATATCACTAATCTGTCCTCTAGGGGCACAGCATATCTGATGAGTCCACGGGTCTTCCTGACATACATATGCCTCCTCCATCCTGTGCAACAGGGAGTCTCCCGCAACTAACACTCTTCTCTTCTTGGTATTTCATGCCTTGGCATCAGTGCCACTACTTTGTTGACCTTTAGCCTCATGTTCAGTGTTGCATGGGATGACTTGCAGTTCCTCCACAGCAGGTTGCCCTCCAGTCACAATCTTGACTAAATGAAAGCAGGTCTGTAGTTCCACTGGTGCAGAGTGTCTTGTTCTTCTAGTTCTTCGGCTCTTAACTGTCACCCTTTTCCAGTGAGTTTCTGCCTTGTTTTCCTTTCCTTCAGGATTCTCCTCTTCTTCCTCAGCTCGCTGCTACACTTCTAGCTTTTGTACTATGCATTTCTGTTGTAGTTCCACGGCTCTGTCTAAACACTGTACATCTTATTTTATTCCCTTGAGGGCGGACACTTGCTGCTCCAGTGCTCTCACCCTTTCTTCTAACAGGGCGACTAGTTTGCACTTGTTGCATGTGTAGGCCATGTTGTCCAAAGGCAAGAAAACAAGCATTGCACAGATGTTGTAGGTCACCTCCACTGGGTCCATTCTTTCGGCTTCCTCTTTGATTCTACCTTGTTGGTCCTGTTGTGACAATCAGTGCTTTCTCCTGTTTTCCTGAAGGTTAACAACGGACCGGCTGTGGTAGCTTCCTCTGATCTGCTTGGCCTGGAGTCAGAATCATAATGAATTTCCCCACCCACACAGCTGCTGCTAGTAATCAGCAGCATTGGGCATTCGCACCGTTCACAAGTCACTTTTTGGGAAGAGGTAGGCAGTGGGAGGGAGGGACGAGGGATGGGACCAGTGGGAGGCGATTTGCAATTTGCTGTATAACCTTGGGTTATATAGCTACGAACATGTGGACTGCCATAAACCCTATATGAATTTCTGTAATGAAAAGCCATGAATATTTCTAGGGAACTACATGATGCATCGGTGATGCATCATCGGTGGCCATGTAGTTTCTTAGAGAGATTTACAGCTTTTTGTAGAGATAGATAATCCTCAGAGATATTCATGGGTTTTCATTCTACAGCTTCAGCTCCAGCATACTCAAGCCAGTGTGTTTTGGTCCATATATAGGACTCCAAGGATGGAGCAGAGCCACTGCAAAACAGTTTCTGGGAAGAATGGAAGCAGAGAGGCCGAGATGTTTTCTCCCTACTTCTCTCAGGTTGTTTAAAGCCTGAAATCCTGTTTTTATTCATAACTTCCTAATCCGTGAAGTAACATTAAAGCTAACATTAACTAACAATGATGGAGATGGACCTGATGCTGGAGAGGCAGGGCTTGATTGTGCTGCTGGGGGTGGTGGGGTATCACTGGAGTCACTTTCTTAAAGTAGGCCTTAAGGGTTGTTTGTACAGCCATTTTCTTTTTCTCACCATAAATAGGTAGCCTTGTAGCAGCTGAGGGCCTGGCTGCAAGGGCAAATGCTAAAGGGGGATTCAATCAGTATTAGGTAGCATCTCCATACTACAGAAGGGGAAACAATGCTGAATTGACAGCAGCAGAATGAGAGAGAGAGAACCAGAACCTGAACCTGAACCTGAACCTGTTGTGAGTAGAATTTGGCAGGCTTGATCCCTTCCAAGGTTGCCAGCATGCCTGTAAGTATTACCCAATTCTATAAGAAAGAATGAAAGTTCTGATTATTTTCTCTGATTTGTTTTAGGTTTGATTTTGTTTGGAACTGCGATATTTTATTACTCTTAAAGGTTATTGTAAATCAGCCGAGCAACTCAGAAATATATTCAAAAAATGAACAAACAAAAAGAACAAAGATAGCATACTTTAAAGTGCTCAAAATGCTTCATATTCATGCTCTTGTTATAATCTATATAAGAATGATAGTAACCAGGACCAGGTTATTAATTTGCAGCTTCTTCAGAACCTGATCAACATTTTAATTCAATTATTTAAAGAACACTACCAGTTTCAGGCCTAGTTAAACTATCTCATGTTAGCTTAAGTTCCAGAAAGTGAGGAAATTTTAGCTGAGTCTGATGCCTTAATTGACCTGTCCCAAGGTCAGTAATGATGCTGTGGAATGTCACAGCTTGTGCTTGCTTGCAATTTCCATACATAACCACAACTACTTGGGGCATCTTTGCTGTAAAATTCAGGAAATAACCTGCATAGGATTATTTACAGAAATTGTAATTCCAGCCTCTGTTTCAACTCCCTTTGCTGCCTTGGGTGGTGGTTATATTGTCTATAATTTCTGGATCTGTGAATTCAGGTTAATCTAAGAACAAGAAACATGGGGTTTCTTGCATTTCTTAAGATTTTATTTTAAAAAACACACACATTCTGAATATTTTTTCCTCAAAGAGGAATAAAGAAGAGGCCAGGGGTTATGGTGAGAGTGTAATGGTAAACTATGCTGGCCTTGAAATGCTGGCATGTTTTTTTTGTATAGGACTGCACCTCTGAGGTATATAAATGCATGTCTTTGTGATTCTTCCAAGTGCAGAGAATAGGAACAGAAATCCTTTTAGTTTTGTAGGATTTTGTATGTGTGTAAGCAAGTTTTTTCTTTCAAGCTCATGACGTCAATTTTATTCTGCAATACCTACAGCCACGTGAAATGCTTTTACCAATATTCAGCACCAGTGCTTCCTTATAAAGCTTTCCATCTGCACCAAAGTCCACCTGGCATCCTGAACGCCCAGTGCTCTCAAGCCCTAGTCGCTGGAGAGGCTTAGGAGGGGTTGTGCGATACTGCCTGGGAGGTGGGGGCTGAAATGATGTGCTGCTCCATATTAAAAACGCGCACCCTTCTAAAAATACTAGAAGAGGATCTAACCTACTCGCCCCCATGACATTTACGTTATATATGCCGTGATTTTTCTTTTAAACGGAGGCCATTCAATCGTGTGACTGTAGCCTGAAGCTGCATAAGTCAGCCACGCTCTGGGCACCTAGGCAGCAGCAAGAACTAGGCCTAATCCAGAGCAGCAACATTTTTAGAGGGCTAGAAGAATATGGCAAGAATTCGGCAGCCGACCCAAACTGAGAAAAAGCAAATGAGGTATTACAGCTATTTCACATGCGCCACTAAGAGCACTCGTCTGTTTCTGTGCACGTGTAAAAGAAACAAATGCCGTTTGAAATGCGCTTCTATTAGGCTCACTTCGGCGTTTCTCCGCTACATTTCCAACCGCTCATTGGCCTCTCCAGCAGTTCCTGTTTCTCCTCAATCTAACCCTTCTCACATCAATCCCAAATCTGTGTGGCTTTCGTTGGCTCACCGCGCAGCCAATAAGAATTTGGTGGGTCGGTCTCACTTTCTCCTGGCGGCTTCTGCTTCTTTCGGGATCCCTTGATTGACAGAGGTGGGCGGTGAAATTGTCACCCATTGGCTGCTCTGGGGCGGAGGGCAGGAACCATCTAGGTAAGTGCGCATAAGGATACGATACGCGTGTGGGGGAGGGCGCAAGCAGGCCTCCCGAGGAGGATGGTCCCCGCGGTGGGGCTGCAGCTGCTGCGTCCTCTCTGTGCTCCGTCGGTGAGTCCCTCTGGTCAGGGTCGTGGCGGGGAGGGCTGGAGCGGCTGCGTGCGACCCATCGCTGGGCTTCCGGGGCCGTTTCCAGCGCCGTCCTGAAGTGGTCCGAGCGCGGCGGTAGTTCCGTCGGACCAAGCTGCGTGGTCAGGCTGTAGGGGCTCGTGAGCGCGGGGGGTCCCGGGGATTCCCTTCTGCGGGGCTTCCGCACTTGAACTCGGCGCGGCAGAATTAGCTGCCGTCTTGCGCCGAGCGTGGCAAACCCTTCCTTCGCTCCCCCCTCCCCTCCCCCAAAGCCTTGGCGCTGCGGCGGCTGGTGGCGATTGTCTGGCGCTTGCATGACGAGGCTGGCCACCTTCTCGGCTCCAAGGCTGGGGAGAAGACGGGGGTGATGTGTGGCCCGAAATCTCGAGGCCGCTCCGGTGGCCCGAGTAGCGAACCCTTGCATAGGTCCGGGTCTGGAGCTGGAAAGGCTGGTGGCGGTTGCGGCGTTAGTAAACGAGGCTCTCGGAGTATATCGTCTACCGGAGAGCACAGCAGACGGGCTTCTCTGACCACCAAGAAATTGTGGACCATCGCGCGTCGCATTTGAGGGCGTTGCTTATCAATGGCTGAACGGATGGCCAACGAAGAACCTCCATGTACAGCAGCAGAGTATCTCTCAACGGCAGCTGCTGGGAACACACAATAAGGCGCAGCATTTAGCTTCTTGCCATCTTTACAAGCTTACAAGACGTACCTTAGAACACCGTTAAAATCACTTCATATATATATCTATATCTGTGTATATATATATAATCTTAGTATTACCATTCTGCAATGGATAGATTATATATTAGATAGCACAGTATACAATCTTGTCCCCAGCAAAAGAGGAGTACGTAGCGTATTTATCAAATTACCCAGATGGAATAATGTCACACAATGCAGACAAAAGCTGATAATCGATGTTGGATATCCATTTTAGATATACCATGGTCATTAAAACTTTAGACATATATGTCCACTTATACACGTGCAGGAACTCTAGTATGTATATGATAAGAGTAGCTTTGCATACATGATGAGACAGGCTTGCAGAATTGTCCTGTCTGTCCAAACAAGTAGAAAATCTTGCTAGCATAGTAGGTGCCACATTGAGGGCTTCCTTCCATCTTCCTCAGAGTTTTCCTGTCTGAGAAGATATGGAGAAAATTCAGCTGCTTGAAGGATGGTGCATTTACCATCTGAAAGTTGGTGTAATGGCTAAGGCAGGTTTCTTCCTAAGCAAGCATTAGATTGGGCTGTAAGTTATTGGCTCAAATCTTGTTTCTTGCTCAGTACCAAACCAGATGCATGCATTTTTGTTAAACATGTTCTTGGTGGTTTGGTTATGAGGTAGAGGAGGGTGGTGTAATGTTAACTACCCATCTCCCACTTTAACTTATTTAAACATTTTTAAAGCACATAGGACTGAAAGGTAAAGGAAGAGAGGATCATCTTCCTTTCATGCTCCTTTTAATACAGCAGCCCTCCTCAGATAGGGGCTTTCCAGATGTTTTGGGCTCCTGCTCCCTTCAGTACTAGACTAGCCAGTGGTAAAGAGTGATAGGAGTTGTGGCTCTACAGCTGTTTTGGCCTTCAACTTGCCCATACCTTTCTTTAATGTAAAATTTTAACCTTTAATGTTAAAATTTAACCAAATATGGAGCTTTACAGAGCCCTATGATTGGTCTAATGGGACAATATAGAGAAACAATACATCCTCTGCTGAACTTAAGTCATACTAACCTTTGGGGTCTTTCTTAAGATTATTAGGATTTGGAATTAAGACATCTTACTGAAATCATGTGAAAGAATCATATGTGAGATACTCTACTATCACATTATTTATAAGTATGGATGGCACCATTTTTGTGGAATAGAATTATATTTGGTGTGCAATTATATTTGGCTTGCAATCTTGAACACAGTTACCTGAAAGTACTACTGAATCCCGTGAGGCTTACTTCTGAGTGGAGGATTGTGCATTCATTAGCTCTGCATTTCCCCTTTACATCCTTTCTTACAAGTAAGCCCGACTGATTTCCATGGCATCCTGAGGTAAATGTGTACAAGACTGCAGAAGAAAATTGGTAGATTTTATTTTCAAATTGATTGGTAGTTCATATTCATCACATTATTGTAGGCAGATGGTTCACTAGATGCTTGATGTTAGGATTCTGGGAGTACAAGTTGATGTCAGAAAGGTACATGTAAAATAGAATGAGGCAGCGGGCCTCAACTGAGTATAACAAGGGCAGTCATGTGTGTGCCTTTTGCTTACAAAGTAGGATGAGGCTCAGCTTTTGACATCAGAAGGGATACCTAAGCGAGGAAACTTGAGCTCCCTCTTTCTTATTTCTTGTAATCTATTTGCCAAACTCTCCTGCTTTCTGCCCTCATTCCAGTTCCAGTACTGGAAGTGAGTAGGGTGTGAGAGAATTCAGCACAGGACAGTGAGGTGGAAAAGGAATTGGCTCTCTACAGCCAGCTGCTCTTTTATTAAAAAAATAAAAATCTTGCTTTATATGTGAATGGAGCAGATGTTTGTGAATGTTGCATTTAGTTTTGCCCTTTGTCTCAATGTCTTTGATGTGTACTCTGCTTAAAGCAACCAGAAGAAAAATCAAGCTTAGACTGTTTCTGTTAACTTCTAGTAGCAGATGTTCCTGTCCTTGGTTGCAGTTGAGAAAATTGTGCTGACCATATCTGTGGAAAGAAGTTATGTTTTTGGATACTTGATTCTTTCAGAATATAATCATAGGGTAGGAACAAGCCCAGAAATTGTCATGGCCACTCTGTAAGCTAGGATCCTTGATATTGTAGTCCTGAGAGCAGAATGGTGTTGAGTAAAATGTGATAGCTGCAGAGATCAGGACTCATACTGAAAGTGCTTCCAGAACAAAACTGTTGTGATTGATCTGGTTATCTATTTCAGTGATGGGGAATGTGTGGCCCTCCAGATGTTATTGAACTACAACTCCCATCTACACTTGCCAGTTCTCTTGTATGTTTAATGTGTTGGCCTGAAGTATCCCACAGGCATTCTGAATTGAAACATCTGACCATCCTTGGTTTTTTGACCCATCTGATACTAGATGATTCTGAAAGAGCCTGTAACTACATTATGGTGCAAAAGAGTCCTCTGCCATTCTCTTCTTAAGAACTGGATGGCAGGTTAGGAATTTCAAACTGGTGGCCTAAGCACCTGCAGACATCCTAGCTGTGGGCCAAATGTCTGCAAAAACCCTATCTACCTGGCTCTTTGTCAACCCAGAGTAACTGTTTTGAAGTTTTTCCAGAGTCCATGCCCCTCTTTTGGGAAAGCCTACACACTAGTGCTTGTGCCAGAGGAAAACTTGGTGCAATCTTCTCTGGTGCCTGCATCCAGCTGTTTCACTTTCCAGAAGAGTTGCTCCTAGCACAGGGATGGAGAGAAAAAGATTGTTAGCTTCCTTTCCCAGTGCAATATATCTTCTTTGCTCCATCCCTGCTCTTGTCTGAGTAGATTCTACAAGAATCTCTTGGTTTTTTTCTGCTGACTGTCTAGCAGTTACACATCCCCAACTCTGAAATGGATTCTAGAAGATTCTTCATTGTGGATAGTTTTTTTATTCATTGAGTTTGCTAAGTGAAGGTACATAGCCTTGAGATTATCTCAGCCAGGGTAGAGTGTCTGTATTTCAATGTCAGTGTAAAAATAACCCGGCCTTTTGCTTTAGCAGAGACCTGCAGCTGATTGAAAAAATGAAGTTTTGTTCTCTTGAACCTAGGTAAGATGGAGTTATGGTCTGGCTGAATGAATCACACTGGAACTTATTTGGGATTTTTGAGGCATGTTGCAGGTACTGCTACAGAATGGCTACCAGGAGTATGGCTGTTCACAAAATGGCTGCCCTAATAGGCCTAGTTAGTTACAAAACAGTAGTTTCATAGATGGCAACCTGTCAAGTGAGCTGAGTAAGTTGTCCAGAATCTTAAGTAAAGAGAAGTAAGGTCTGAGCCCAAAACACAAAGCGTTTAATTTGAACCTGCAGTTCATTCTTAGAACCCTCCCTGAGACACAAGGTCCCAAGACCCTCCTGTTACCCTTTGAAGTCGGAGTTTTCTAATCCAACAAAAAAACTCATTTCAGAAAAGCAAACATTTTCTCTTTGCCAGCCAGCTCAACCCTACCTCCCCAAGATGCACATGGACAGAAACCCAGAGAGAAAAATAAGATGGCAAGAGAATCAGAGACCCACAGAGAGAAATGAATAAAAGCTAGCCAAGGGAGTAGGTGAGGAAGATAGGAGAGAAAAAAAGAAAACGCCAGCTCAGAGAGAGACAGGTAAGCGGGGAAAAGAAAGAGAAGAAACACAGAGACAAAATGGTATAGACATAGCCTGCTCTTTCCCTATCCTGTTTACTGCCTTGCAGGTCAGGAGGCATTACTTTTCTGTTTCTTCCTCTTGCTTCCAACTATCGCTCTCTGTCTTTTGTTGAAATATTTTTAGAGGGTGCTTCTTTCCTGGTCACATTCCTTTTTGTTCAGCTACTGTGGTGCCAGTTTCAACACAGAAAGTACATTAAGATGAAAGAGGAAGAGTCTCCCTCTTTCTCACCTCTCTCACTTTTCCAGACTAGGCTTCTCCCTATTCTTCTCCAGGTATTCTGTGCATCACACATGGACTTTGCACTCGTGTGAAGCCTTATTTCAGAAAATGTCTGTAGCTGAGGAACCCTCCTCCACTGTCTTGGTGCACATGTCCCAGGCAGGTGCCTACCTGTTTCTTCAGCTCATTCCCCTTTGACCACTGTTGTGGTTGTCTCACAAAAAGAGGCTGTTATTACACCTTTATACCACCCTATAGCCCATTTGGGCTATCTGGGCAGTTTAAAGATTAAAAAATATACATAAAAACAACAAAATATAATATTTATTTATATTTATATCCTGCCTTTTTCCTACAAAGGGCTCAAGGCAGCTTACATCATTCTCCTCCATCTTATCCCCACAACAACAACCCTGTGAAGTAGGTTGGGCTGGGAGCCTGTGACTGGCCCATAGTCACCCAGTTGGCTCCATGGCTGAGCGGGGACTGGAACTCAGGTCGTCTGAGTCCCAGTCCCATGCTCTTAACCACTACACCACACTGGCTCTCATTTAATAAGAACCATTTCTTATTTAATAAGAAAAAAGCAATAAAATGCAACAACAAACAAAGAGCCAAGGGTCCCTGCTCCAAATGGGGTTGAAAAGGTGCCAAACAGGTAATGCCCGTTGGTGCTGCTCTTTGGCACCTGTCCAAGCACCTAAAAAGGCTTTGAAGACTCCTTTCGGCAGTTGTGCCCAGTGTAGCAAACTTCGACCAGTGGACAGACATTTCAGATAACAGCCTAGAGCAGGAGTCCTCAAACTTTTTAAACGGGGCCAGTTCACTGTTCCTCAGACTGTTGTGGGGGTGGACTATAGTTTGAAAAAAAATGAATGAATTCCTATGCACTCTGCACATTAAAAAATTAAAATTAATTAACAATAATTAAAATTTAAAAATTACTTTAAAATGTTTGATCAGCTCCCTCGGGCTGCAGCAGAAGCCCAAGATGAGGTAGGGAAGAGCATGTCCATATTCAAGGGACATAGCTACAACACAACCAAGGCACTAAATATAGTATTTTGCATAATGCAGCTGATGACTGCAACTGGCATTTACAAAGAATGAAGCAAAAATACTAAGGGTAAATACTGTTAATGCCACTCTTAGTATTTGAAGCAAGTCAGCCCAGAACAATTCCCACAATACACAATGGCTGTAATTGGATGCAGAGCTAATGACTACCATATTTTAGTGCAACCTTGCCAAAACTGGTACTGTTCAGATGAGTTGGACTACAACTTTCATTGACCATGCTGGTTGGGCATGGTGGAAATTATAATCCTCGCCACTGCCCCGCTTCTGAGGGAGCGGGAGTGGGAGGCCAGAGAGGCGAGCACAGGACAGCTCCCCCAGCCAGGAGGGGGCCGCGAGGAGGGAGGTAATGGCTACATTCCAAGGCAGGGGAGGCGAGGGGCGGAGCCACGGCTGGCCAAGCAGGGCACCTCCTGCCTCTCTCCGCCACGGGGGGGAAGTATGGCAGCTGCTCGATGGCAGTGGCTTGGTCAGAGAAGGCCACGGCAGAGGCGCAGGAGCCGCAGCCCTGCTCCGCCTCAACCTGTCTGCCCCTGGGCTTGGCGAGGTGGCCGTGACTTGGCACACAGCCCGGGGACGTGGCTCACGTAATTAAAAATAGATTTAAAAAGTTATATTTTTCTTACCTTCAATCCTTTTTTAGTGTCTTCATCTATCTCTCTCTCTTCTGCCCTTCTCTCTTCTGTTTCCCACTCCGTATTCCCACTCCATATTCAGAGCCATCGCATGCCTGCAATGGGGGGGAAGAGCCGGTGCACACGCAGTTGAAGGGAGCTGTTACAATTTGGTGTGTGAGCCAGCTCTCTGCTCAGTTTCAGAGAATGCCTGTGCTGGCTCAGAGCTTTCGGACTCACTCGGAGATCGTTTTCTCCAAACGAGTCCAAAAGCTCTGAGATGGGCTGGGTAAATGACCATGGCGGGCTGTATCCGGCCCATGGGCTGTAGTTTGAGGACCCATAGCCTAGAGGCTGCAGAGAGGGATAGATAGCATGTCACCTCTACCATTGATCCAGGATATCATGGATGCTTGTCAGGAAGCTCATCACTAGACTTTCTTATGCCAGAAAATTGAAAACATTTTATTCCTTTGTCTTTGCTGCCAGTACAGTCACTGTTCTGTTACCATGTTCCTCAGATCTTGTTTTGCTTGTTTCATAAGGGTCTAAAGCAGTCTTCACTCCTCTCCATTTCAGCATCTCCTCCATCTGTAGATAGCATTTCAATTTTTAAAAAGTATATATTGTTTGTTGTTGATTGTTCTGTTGAGGCATTAGGAATCCTGTGCTCTCTGTTTTGTTGCTAACACTGCTGTGGAGCTGTGCTTCAAGCATTTTCATCAAAACAGTTGGAACTCTACAGTCACAAATGGTTTCGTCTCCTTTCTTGGAAGTAGCTATCACATCAGTGTGGCACTTAATTAAGCTATGTGCCTTAAGGACTTTTTCTCCTTATTTGATTTTTCATAATAATGAAATGGTCCTCTATCCAGAAATTGCCCCTTTCTCGAAAGTGGTATGCAAATTTCACCTTAACCAAGATATGATTCTGCTCATTTTCTTCCTGTCTCCACTTCTCCAGAATTGACCCTTCATACTCTCAGTGTTTGCCAGGCCTTAGCTTTCTGTTATTCAAGAATGGATTTTTTGTCAGTTACCTTGGCCCTTCATCTGCTATGGTGAGTTTCGTGCCTTCAGTGGTTGACATCACACAGTTGGCATATGAAGTAGCTGGACTCCAACTTGCTCGCCAAATAAAAGTGCATTCAATCAGCCATGTCACCACTTTGGTAGCATTTGGATGTGGTGTGACTTTACCAGATTATGTTAGACTGGAACCTGGTCAGAACATCACCATTTATTTGGCAGTATTGGCAAAATAATCAAACCAGAACTGTCTGCTCCTGGAGTTTTATCTTCCATTCTGCAATAAGAACATTGACTCTTCTTTGGTAAGTCAGCTTGTTTCTTGCTCATATTGGTGATGCACCAAGACTATGAAGAAGAAAGATGGGTTGCTTACCTGTAACTATAGTTCCTCAAGTGGTTAACTGTAGATTCACAAAATCTGCCTGCAATCACTATTTCAGGATTGATGCCTATGTTGGAGTTGGTAATGTGTCTGTTTCCAGTTTGATCTTGGTACTGAGTCTTGCTCTCTGTTTCAGATAGGTGGTATCAGGGAATGAAGGGGATAGCTGAGAACCTATTAGGGACATGTGCACTGGGATGGTGGTGGAAGGTTCCCACCAAAAAATTCTTAGCTATAGACATTTCTCAAAAGAGGCTCCATGCAGGCATGGAGTCAATGCATGTGAATGCACAGATGGGCACTTAACCAAAGGTAAGCGAGTTGTACTTTTTCAAGGCGGGAGAGGCAGTATTTGGAGTTGAGAGTGTAAAGGCTTTGTGTGTGCTACAGAGGTCTCGATAAGCACCTGTACACCTATGGACATTGGACTGGGCACTCCAAATGCAGAAACTATCATTCATCTGCATTATAACTCAACTAGAAGAAATGTAGCATATATTAGTGCATGAGCAGTGTAGAATTATTTCATGTTAGAAATAGAATCTTCAGCCACATCTGCTTTCTTTCAGTCAAGTTAGATGCTTGTTTGCTCTGATGATAAGGAGTAAGCTTCAAAGGAACATGCAAAGGCCTTTTAAGCTTGTTTATCCCACTATTACATGTTTTGTATTCTACTGTTCATAATTGGTCTATCAAATCATTAGGGATGGTTATCTCCTATAATGGAGTAATGTCAAAATCTGAATTGGAAAGGAGCTCCCCTCCTCAAATTTTCCTATACACAGGTGCTGACACACACAGAAATAAGACAAGAACATGCACCTGTAGATTAACTTGAATAATTAAAATTGTGGTAAGTATGCCACAGGTAGTAAAACTCAAATATTTCATGGGAAAATGATTTGCAAAAAAGATATAATAATTCTGGTGGTCCTCCAGTTGAAAACCTATATGAGAACAATTATGTGGAAAAAAAGACAAAATAGGGACACAATTTACTCATGGTGTGTAAGGCAGTAGAAATCATGCTTTGTTCCGTTTTCTTCCGAAGAACCTTGCAAATGATGCTTGAGGGATTGTCATTTTCCCCTCCCCTTAGATTTTAAATGTGTTTAGATGCGTTAATGACTTACAAGTTTTAAAAACCTTTTAGAATGAAAAATCTCAATGAATTCCAATACATTTTATCTATTTTACTTAGGACTGGAAAGCATGGTTTGAGAATCACTAACACAGTAGAAGCTGGAATGCTAATTCAGGCATGTAAACAGCCACTCCCTGGTGGTGAGTATAAATAATTTACAGGTGACCAGACAAAGAAGTTTTACATAATTGGCTGTTCTTTTAGAGCATATATGAGAAATATGTGATAGGCAGGCCAGTTGCCTTTTTGTGATCTTACGAGTATTTGCTAGGTTGACCGTGCTAATGTAAAAATACCACAATAAACCAATGGAAGTTTAGCTGCCACTGAATACTTGGAATCAGGGTTCTCAAACACAGCTATAATTATTGGTGCATCTAGACTCGTCACTAGCTTTTTCTGGTTTTCTTCCCGTAGATTTTTCTTTCTCAAACTATGCCAGAGATGACAGAAAAGGCTCCTCTTAAGAAGCAGCACCGGTAGGTGTCCCATGTCTGTCTACTCAGGTGGGCCTTTTGTTAGGCTTTGCTGGGTTATCCCCAAGTATGTGTAGGTTGCACTGTCAATCTGCTTGAAAGTTTTAAAGATCCTTTCATTCTTTTATCTGTTGTCAGATTGTTCATATATTATTATTCAGAATGTTTAACTTAATTAGCAGAAGTTTACACTTGGCTTATTTCTAAAATATGAATGAAGGCTGACCAAACAACAAGTTGGTAATTTTGGACTTCTGGTGGCATCTAGCCCATTGTTTTATTTATATTAGTGTTCCTGGGCTATATACAAAAAGTTCCATTTTCCAGTAAAGAGAGTGCCATTAGAGTACGAAATAGAGGTGTCTTCTGGCCAAGCCAAGCCTAAAATCAGCCCTTTCTCCCCACCCCCACTTTGATTCGTAATCAGTGATTGTGCAGTAAAAGTACACGGTGTCCCAAAAAAAATTGACATCATTTCATAGTCTAATAACATAGCCAATTCTCACTCAAATGACCTCAAATTTTAACAAAATGTGTAAAAACTAACTGTTAGTTACGCAGTGTTATGCAAGACATGCTGCAGCATGTTTGGCAGGAGGTGGACTACCAACTTGACATGTGTCGTGTCACAGGTGGTGCGCATTTGAACATTTGTGAAACTTTGTGAAATCGGTTGTAAAATCTACATCCCTTTGAATCTCTTGTTCGAATTTTGATAGATAAATCTTTTATCGTTCAACATGAAGCCTATTTAATTTCGTTTGCCTAGGACATGTAGTTACTCAGATATTCACATTTCAAATAATGTCAAATTTTTTGGGACACCCTGTATATTGGACAGTACTGTTGATATCACAGATGAAAGAATATGCACACTCCTCTCTCCCTTTCTCTCCAAAATCTGGAAATACAGGATTTTTGTCTTGCAGCAGAGCTCTCAACATTGCATCAAGCTTTCTGTACTCCTCTCTTTTTACAGCACCATTCATGTATATGGCTGCTTTACAGTTACATAAACTAAAAAGACTAGTCACTGCATTTATGAGGTTAAGTATTTAAGATTTTACTCTGAAAAATGATAGTTCACCTTTGTGTTCTCAATGAATCGCTTAAAATGTTAGCAGTGAAAGTGGAGAGATTCCTGCAAGAACGTCTGCTGGTTCAGAAAACTGGCTGTTCTGCCAGTACTAGCTTCCTTTGGCAGACCTCTCCCATTTCTTTCTTTCTTACAGTTTTTTCTAAAACATAAATGCAGGGAAACATTTTTTTTTTATTCTTGAGGTTTTTCTAAAGTGTTTTCCCCATGCAGTTGGAGGTCAAGGAAAAGGAAATGTTTTTCTTTAGAATTTTACACAGTCAATAGCCCTAAATTTGCTGTTTGGCATTTTAGATTTACATCAGACTTTGGACCATCAAATTTGCCTGTCCAATATCTCCATATTCCATATTAGAAAGGCATTTATTGTATTAATGTCAGCTGATGCCTTCAGTTGTTTTCCATTATTTCAGGAAAATGTCTCCTAATTTAAGTTGAGACAATTAGTCCAGTGTATACAGTCGCTCAATAGAAATATACAAGCAAAATATATACTGGGATATTTAGTGTAAATGTGTTCATCTATTTCATTTCTTTTGTGTCTTTGCTTTACCCTTGCTTTATAGATTCTTGTGGACTAAAGACTGCAGCTCATAATTAAGCCTTTTTGTGTTATATTTTTGTGCTTTTTAAACAGAAAGAAAAATCGTGAGACTCACAATGCAGGTAGGAGCTTTAGTGTTGCTGTGATCCAAAATGTTTAATGTGTGTAAAAACAAATGCCCCTTTCAGTCAGAGTATTTTTTGAGCGCACTATCATTACATTATCATATACTATGTTTTCTGTTTTTCCCCAGTGGAGAGGCATCGGAAGAAAAAGATCAATGCTGGAATAAACCGCATTGGTGAACTAATTCCATGTTCCCCAGCATTGAAACAGGCAAGTGAGCCCTTAACTTCATAGTAGCTTAAATTAAGTTTTATGAACCACTTGGTGGTTCACACATTGTCCTATTTCAGACCTTCAGGACCTCAGCTTAATAAACTGAGATGTGCTGAAGTTTCAGAAACACACATACCACTTTCATATTTAGTGAGCAAAAAGCCTGTTGGAATAATAGTTAGAATGATTTCATTACATATTTTTGTATATTGTTGGCTGTGATTTTATTCAAGTGCTGTTGTAGATTTTGCTGTCACTTTACTCTTTATGTAAGCCATCCAGAGATCCTGTTTGGATATAGGATGGGGTATAAATGTTTTAAATAAATAAATTGTGATGGCAGGGGATCATGCTAGTAGAAAGTTTCACCAAAGAGTTAATCTACCCTTAGTGATGTCTGAGCAGAATGCAATGCCTTGGAAGCTTGTAGAGAGTGCTACCTGCTAACAAAGATAGCAGAGCTAGGAAAAGGTCTTACTGCTTTAACCAGAACTGCTTCTCGTTCAGAATAAGTTTATTTGTTCTGTCAGTACTTATGTATGTCTTTTGCAACCAAGTAAAGGTTGCTTTACCAAGCCTTCATTTCATGGACTTATTCAGTCAGTCTAGCTATAATAAAATCTAGGAATTGCACTTAACCATAGTTGCTAATTACGTCTTCACACAGGACATAATAATGCATTCAGCCAGAATATGGAAGTCAACTTGAATTTGCAGTTTCATATTCTACAGGTTTCAGAGTATGAAAGCCAATAACCATAGTTTTCTATAACCATAGTTATAGAAAATAACTATATCCAGAGTTTTTCAGCCCATGAAAAAGACTTTACTCACCTTCTTTGGATATATGATGTGGAAAAAAATGGTGATCCAGGTAGTCATTGATAAGGCCAAGTATTTTGCATAGCAGCTGTGCAGAAATAATGTTTGCCTACCAAAATTCTACATTACATTTATAAGTGACTGCATAACTGTCAAGGCTAGGGTTGCTTGCATGGCTGAGGGAACAGTTTTGCTTGTTGGGGAGTAGAGTAGATAGCAAAGGCTTAATTCATGCTCTGGTAGAAGACTGCACCAAACAGCAAAAAATGTATGCCATTTTCAGGGAGGAAAAACCTTCCAGTCTTTGGTTTTGTCTTCAAGAGAAGGCCACAGTGGCTTTGCCACTTCTGGGCTGCTGCTTGGGACTAAGGCATAAGCCTTAAGCCTGTTCAAAAGAAGACAGTACTTTTGTTTCTTTTTCTGCTCTTTGTCATGCTGCTTGCCAGGGATTCAGGAGGCTTCTTAAAAAAGTGCTTTAGAGCACTTGGCACTGAGCTTTACCTAATGCTTTTGGAGCACATGGTCACGTAGCCTGGGGTAAATAAGTAAGCGCTCCAATGCTCTTCTTTCACATTCTCCAGTCAGAGAGTTGCATCAGAGAAGGAAGAGGCCACCTCTGCCTCCCCACTCGGTGGATTACTTGGCTTTGGCCAAGGGCTTGGGAAAGGGCATGCAACACATGCACAGACCTTGCTGCTTGTTCCCAGTATCCCAGAATTCCACGACAAGCAGGCCATGTATTTCATGAATGTCCCTTGGCAACAGGGATGTTGAAAGCCCCTGCAGAGGAATTCCAAAACAGTACAAGAGCATTGCCAGTGGTGGTGTAGCCTCCCTTAGAGAGGCCTTGCCCATTGCCAGCCAGCCAGCAGGGGGAACTGTTCCCATACCATCCACAGGAACAGTGAGGTGGTAAATGGGGATGCTTACTTTTCCTCACTCTCTACCATACCTTCCCTACACCTGCTTCACCTGGTAACCCAGGAAGGGGCGCTTACTCTGCACCAGTAGCACAGCTTTCTCTCTGTTGTTCATTCTCAGCATTTGAGGCAGCCTATCCAGCAAGGGCATTAGTGGGCCACCTTCTACCATTAAGCACTGTGAAACAGTACAGCATGAGTTAAATTGGAGGGTTGCATGCCTACTCGTCCGACCCTATTTTTCTGGGAAATCAGTGGGGAGCAATGGACATTGTTAGCTAACCTTGTAACCCATGGTCACTGGTCTGACTGCCAGGACACTAGTTCATGACAGGACATGGTATATTGTCCCCCTAACTAATACTACTCCCCACAAGATGGATCAAGACTGCACTGGGGCAAGTGGAGAGGTAGAAAGGAACCACTCTGAGATGAATCCTGGCCTTACCATCCATTCAAGTATCCAGTTCTTCCTCATATCCATCGTGAAGCCTATTGAAACCTGATTTTTTTGCCTGGTATCCTCATCTAAGTCATCAGGATTTCATAGTCATGTTTTCTGTAGCACTTAGTAGCCACTCAGCTGGGGAGCCTTTGTAAGTTTTTCTGCAATGCTTCTCTGTTGTACATAGTCCTTCTCCACACCACATGGAAGGACCTAGCCAAGGCCAGGGATAGGGTTAGGGTTAGGGTTTTTTCAGCAGGTCTGAGATTCCCCCAGTAGACAATTCTGTAGCAATATTTACCTTTAAATCTGTAGTTCCTAGGGAAAGTGTGGTGCCCTTATTGATCCCAGGAACTGAAAAAATGAGGTCACAGTAACAGCTTGTATGGGACCAACTTCCCTTTCCTTAGAGTGGCTGCCATTGTCTCATGCTACATTCCTGCTTGGTCTCTCTTAGAGATCTCTTTTGACTCCAGGCACTTCGGGGAAGAGATCAACAATTGGCACGTGTTACTGAATCCCAACTGTCACATCGACAGCTACCAAGATAGTAGTCTGCAGAGATCACATGCTGAAATGCTGCAATGACATCCAAGCCTAAACCCAACAATCATAGAGTAATAGAATTGGAAGGGGCCAGAAGGCCATCGGGTTCAACCCCCTACTATTGTAGGACACTAAGTTACACCATCCCATTCAGATGACTGTTCAGATGCTTTCTGAATGTCTCCAGTGAAGGAGAGTCCACCACTTCCCCCAGGTTATAGGCTCCAGTGTGAGGAAATTCTTCCTGCAATCTAGTCTAAATCTGATTTCTTTTAATTTAAGTCTGTTAATCCATGTGCTGCACTCTGGAATAAACGAGAATTTCAATTCAGTTACCATCTTGGTTACCCTTTCAGGTTGGGTAGCTCTTTAGTTTCATCAGAACCTGTGGAAATGAAAGAAAGGGGTCTTGTCAATGACTCTCCAAGGGAGCCAGCCTTTGTTCTGCCTGCGTAGTAGCCCATTTCAAACTTACTCTTCCAAACCCATAGGATCTGGAATGGGCTTCCACAGGAGGTGGTTGAAGCCTCATCGGTGAGGCTGTTCAAGGATAGGCTGGACATGCACATGGTGGGCATGTCATGAGCCGGCTGGAGCTGAGGGTCAGACCAAGGCCTATTGAAGGAATTGGGTACAATTAACCTGGAGAAGAGAGAGTAGAGGTTATAATTGCTTTCTTCAACTGTTTCAAGAGATTTCTCATAGATGATGGTGCAGAATTGTTGTGCGTCACTCTGAAGAGGAGGATTAGAACTGTTAGGTTCAGGAGATTTAAGAGAAAATATTTTGACTAATTTTTAGGAAGAAATTTCTGATGGTATGAGATGGTACACATTTGAGCAGACCTCCTTGCGAGGTGTTGGATTCTACTCAACTTGTATGATCTTTCAGATTTTTTAAAACATGTATGGCAGTTGTCACCAATCTGGCACTTTCTTGATACTTTTGACTACAACTCTCAGTGGATGATGGGAGTTGTAGTTCAGAATATCTCAGGGATGCAGCAAGATCCAGGAATGGTGAAAGATGGTGTACATATATGAAAGATGCTACCTTGTCAGTGTGTGAACTATTTCTGGTAATTAAGTTGATTGTGAAGAAGAAACATATGATCATTGTCTCCAAAAGGATGTTTGTAAGAGAATGCAGAATAATGCTATAATTTCAGCAGCCTAAATGTTTGTTTTCCCTTCTTCCCCTGGGATATCCAATATCCTTCAGTTCAAGGCAGTGGGAAATCTGTTCCTGTGAGTGCTTCTTCATTCATAGAGATATGAAAGGAAATAGAAGTATTGCAGGCTCATCAAGGACCAGCCTGCCTGTGCTTTGGACTACACATTTTTCCTAATTATCTGCATTCATTCTTACAGAGCAAGAACATGATCCTTGATCAAGCATATAAATATATTACAGAAATAAAGAGGCAAAACGATGAACTCCTGTTGAATGGCGGAAACAATGAACAAGGTGAAGATACTGTCAAATAAGGGGCTGGGTTGTATTGTGTCATCTCTTCCCCATCAGAAATGCCACATGGGGCATTTTAAAGCAATAGCTGACAAATTATGTGACTCCCTCCCTCCTGTATCTCAGTGCTGTCTGTGGTTGAGTACCGCATGCCTACCTTACTGTTTCTCCTGCTCTACTGCAGAGTGACAGCTTACACGCTGGCAGATCTAAAGCTTGTACCCGAGGTGCTGAATCAAGCCCTGTCCCATATTGCTTCTGTTCTGTAGTTACAACTTGAGGGTTCCAGTAATTCCTGTGCAGAAGTGTATAAAAATCTGTGGAACCCTGCAAACCCAATGTAGGAAGATGCTTGCATGCCCATTTCCCTTTAATGTTAGTCACGTTGCTGTGCCCTGTGAAATATTTATGTACAAATCAGAAGCCTTGATAACAGTAATAGGTGAAAGATTTTGCTGGTGGCCTTGGCTGTTCCCAGCACAATGTCAGGTTGGCATGCCTCTTTTTTATTGCACACATATTTCAAAAGAAGTATTTTGCAACTGCCTTCTTTCTTCTGTAACTGTTATCAAAAATGCACTTTACTCTCTGACAATGTGAATTTTGATTTCCTAAACTTTCTGGTTCAGACTGTCATTTTGCTTATCCTAATAAAAGTATTCTAATAATGCATTTAAAAGCGTATTTGCTAATTTTCTATCTTTCCACTGGCATCTTGCTCTGAATTTGCGCACTCTTTCTCAAAGCACTTTTTATATGGAGGAGCTGCGCAAGGTTAAAAGAATAGCCATCACAATTAATTATAAATATTTGTTACCAAATATGCACATTAATTCCCAGAGGACCTGTAATTGCCTTACAGTTTTATTAAAAGTTGTTTCCCTCATCCAAATTATATACAAAGAGCAGAGGTTTTCTGAGTATTCTGAAACATGGCTGAAATCCAGGTCCCAGTAGTGTTCAGTTTTTTAGGCACATGTACATTAAATGATTTCCTATTTTTCCTCTAGCTGATTGTTCTGTTCCTTGGAAATGTGAAATTTGACTTGAACAATAATCAAATGAAAGTAGTAAGAAGTGTTCCTTAATAGAAAGATCTGCAAATACACATTTTCTCAGGCATTTTTCAGCTGTCCCCTAGTTCTAGAATTTTTATTTAGATCCAAGTTAAATATTAAGTTAAATAATACAGCAAAACTATTCTTTGGAATGATGATGCCAAGAGTAAGGCATAATGTGAGATGGATTTTATTGCTGCAGCTAGACTATGGTTCAAGTTTTAAAGGCGAAGCTTTCAGTGAGTTGTATAGTGCTCCCTACAGGATTTCCTCAAATAATTCAGCTGTAGTGGATTTTCCCAAAGTCTCTGATAATTGGGATTTTTTTTTAATTTGCTCTGCAGCTGAAGAGATAAAAAAGCTCCGGAAGCAACTGGATGAACTCCAAAAAGAAAATGGGCGCTACATATCATTATTGAAAGCCAATGACATTTGCCTTTATGATGATCCTACCATCCACTGGAAAGGAAATCTTAAAAATGCAAAAGTTTCAGTTGTTATCCCTAATGATCAGGTGCAGAAGAGCAAAGAAAACCTCAAAAATACAAATGTTTCTGTCATCATCCCTGGTGATCAGCTGCAGAAGAATATCATTGTATATTCCAATGGCAGTCAGCTTGGTGGAAGTAACCAGGGGGCATCTGTCCAGGGAATAACCTTTAATATCAGTCCTAATTTACAGAAGCAGACAGCTAATGTTGTTCCTGTCCAAAGGACTTGCAATCTAGTTGCACCTGTGACCATATCTGGCATCTACTCCACAGAAATCAAGTCAGGAGTTCAGGCTTCTGTTTCTCTATTGGGCTCAGGCTCACCAAATTCAGCCCCAAAAATCCTTGAGCTCCCTACCTCTGAGAATGAGCAGAGTGCACCTGCCTCTAGTAGTGCTGCCAGCTCGGTGAATGCCTTGCAGCTGGTGAGCGTACAGCCTGAAATACCGAGTTCACCACAAGACGCAGGTGACACCTCCAAACATGAAAGTGGACCAGAGCATTTAAAGTCAATTGAGAAAGCAGTTATGCCTACTCCTGACCTTCCTTCCAGTGCTGCTGTGGATGTATCTCATTCTCAGCTGGCAGATGCACCTCCTAAAAGTGATCCAAGAAGTGGGTTCCTTGAAAGCTGTGTGGTTTCTGCAGCTGCTACCAGCGTTACTCCATCTGTAAGGCTCTCCATTGATGGAAGGCCATCCACAGGAAAGGTATTCAAAAGTATGCATGTGATAAGCAGCAGTGGAGGACCAGCATCTTCTGCAACAGAAGGCCTGAAGGCTGTCACAGAAATTTACACTTTGCCTGCTACTACTTTAGATAAGTGGCCTTTCCCCAGTTCTTCAGGTGTTGGCACTTCAGGGTCAAAGAGTGTGGGTGGCCTGACACGAATTTCCACGGCTGGAAACACGCAGACTACTTGGACTACGTTGCAGCTAGCAGGAAATACTGTGCAGCCTGTGAGCCATGCTCCATCCACCGTGATGATGACTCCCCTGCTGAATGAGCCAGTTAACGGTACTAGCAGTGTAACCACCACCCCAAGCAAGGTTTTGTCAACTACTGCCAGTTTAACTAGTCCTCTGGTTGCAGATGACCATACAGCTGAGCAGATTGTGGTTACTTTGCCTTCCTATCCCTCTGTACCTATGCAGCCGCTGGTTGCTAAGACGCAGGTTATAGCGCAGCCTGCAGGTGGCCTCCTCCCACTGAATCCAGCCATGCAGGTGATTCACATGTCCCAGCCTGTAGGGTCACCTGTTGGTGCATCTCCTGCCAATCAAAATGTTGTCATTCTCCACCCTCCTAATGCTAATCCCTGTCCACCAGTTTTGAGAGCTGAAATCCCCAACCAAAATGTTAGCCAACAAATTGTAATTATACAGACTGCTAACGCAACCCCCCTCTCCCTTTTCTCGGCCCAGCCTCCTGTCAGAATGTCTGTGAATGGAGCCTCTTCTGCAGCAAGTGCTAGCAATCCTATGCAAAACCCCTCTGCCCCTCATATGTTTGGTGGGAAGCATCTCGTCCATATTTTACCAAGGCCATCCTCTTCACCATCTTCTAGCTTGACTCAAACGTTTTCTGTTACAATGTCTAACCAACAGCTCCCGCAGACTGTTTCTTTAAATGGACAGCTGTTTGCATTGAAGCCTGTAAAGTCGTGTTCTGGAGGTTCAGATCAAACCCCTATGCAAATTATTCAGCCTACCACCAGTGAAGACCCAAATACCAATGTTGCCCTCAACACGTTTGGTGCTCTAGCTAGCCTTAATCAAAGCATATCACAGATGGCTGGACAAAGCTGCCTGCCAGTGTGTGTCAGTCAGCCTGCCAACCCAACATCTGCCAGCAGCCAAACCATGTCGAGTCATCGTGTCCTGCTGGCAGTTACAGTGGCATCATCGTCAGCTGCAGAGGGCTCTGGGTTAACCAGTGTTGCACATTCAGGAGATGCTTCATCACAAAAAGCTGCTCTTGGTTCAGGCTCAAAATGGTCTAATAAAAACCCCAGTAATAAAAAATGTTTAGTGGCCAGCAGTGACCTTGCATGCCAAATGAATTCCAAGAAACCTGAAAATGTGAATGTGGAAACTGTACCTGAGCATTCAGGAAGAGACATCTTGCTTGAAAATGTGCCTGTTAATGTTGTGTTGCAACCCTTAGCCATCCCACAAGCAAACCATCGAGGAGCAGCTAATGATGTAACAGCTTCTGATTCTCATCCTGAAGAGAGACTAAGAGCTGAACAGGATACAGAATCCACTGTTTCATCAGAGCAGAATGCAGCTGTTCTTCCTAGGTTATTGCCCCTTGAATCATCCTTGCCAGGACAGCTTGGAGTAATTGCTCCAGTTTCCACAGACTGTGCTTCTCCTTCTCTTCAAATGTGTAAACCTCAAACTGATTCAGCAACTAACTTGAAGCTACCAGAATCATCCAAATGTATTGTCACCAGCTCTTTAACATCCTCCTCTTCTGATTCCCACTTGATAAATTCTCAAATTTCTGGGACAGTGATGACAAGCAAAGAGACACATGCTGAGAATGTTCCCAGGACAGAGGTCTCTGAGATCTGCAGGGTGGAACCAAATTGTTCTATGGTAATGCAAGCCACAGATTTATTAGAAGAACAAGGACTAACGAAGATGCTCTCTGACTTCAGTAAAGTGGGGGAAGTGGAAGAAAAAGACTTTACTGCCCAAGGAGAGCACCCTAATTTTCACACTCAAAGCACTAAATCAACTATGGACTCAAATGATGACTTGGCAGGGAAGCAGGAAGGGCTCTTGTTGATGAACTCTGAAGAGGGAAATCTCTCACAGCCTCATCCCTGCACCTCTGAGCAAGAGGCAGTCACTGCTAGCAGACAAGCGGACTCCCCTATGTCGACAAGCTCGGGCAGCAGTTGTGGCTTCTCAGTTGCATCCATGTTGCCAGATACATGCAGGGAAAATGCTCCCAACAGCACTTTGGGGAATACATGTAATAGCTGCACATTTTCAGAGCAAACTGATATTGTAGCACTAGCAGCAAGAGCAATTTTTGACCAAGAAACTCTTGCAAAGGGTCCAGTGGCAGTGTCTGAAATGGCTGTTTCCAAAGCTGATGAAGTGGCATCTCTAGGAAGGGACCAACCTTTCAAGTCTCACACAGTTAAAAATGCAGACCAGATAGAAGCAGCATCAAACAATTTTAGCACCCAGGGTACTGTGCAAATAAACATTGACAGGCCAACAGAAAAACAAAGCTGTTCTGTTAGAGTGGAAATGTCCAATACAACTTTGCAAATTCCAGTTCCTCAGTCTTCAAGTACATCAAGCTTGAGTATCAATAATCTCATTCATCAAAGCTGCATCATTCACCCTGCTGTAAGCTGCTCCGGGTTACCCTCTCCTTCAGGCCAAGCAGCTGCTCCTGTGACTGTGACTCAGCCCACGCCAGCCAATTCCTATATGACTCAGTCTCCTGGACATTCTCCAGTGCTAATGACTGACTATGCTCCAGAGCAGCTGTCTGCTCTTCGGACCACCACCATGCAGGTTTCACAAATGCACGAGCCGCACTTGAAGCACCAAACCCAAGAAAGCCGCAAAGATTCAGTTAAGCGTTCCGTTCAAGATGATCACCTGCTCTCCACATCAAAGAGACAGAAACAGTGCCAGGCAGCACCTTTGCAGCTTGAAGACATGGCTTTGCTGAGCCAAACAGCCAGTGATATTGCAGATCACAATCGAATCCTGGTCAGTCAGATCCCCCCCAACTCGTCTAAGCTTGCTGTGTCAGTGAGCAGTCAAGCACACACTGAAGGCCATAGCAGATTATTTCCAGCCAGCAATTTTGTTTCACCTGCTCTGAGGCAGTCTGAAGTTCAGTGTAACCCTCAGCCTTCTGTCTCAGAACAGGCAGGACAACACCTGCAGCCTATTCAGCATGCCCCTTCCCAAGGAATGGCTCATCTGCATAGTAATCACCCCTACCTAAAGCAGCAGCAACAGCAGACTGGGCAATTGAGAGAAAGACATCAGTTGTATCAACTCCAGCACCACGCATCTCACGCAGAAGGGTCTATCCACTCTCAAGCTCACATTGTTCACCAGCAACGAATAATGCACCAAGAAGCGCACATGCAAAAGAAAAGAACACTGATCCAAGCAGCCCAGCCTGCCACACTTGCTTTACAGCAGAAGCATCATGGAAATGACCAGTCACGGTCGAAGAGCAGCCAGCCTCACCCCCACCACCCACAAATACAACAGATGCAGCAGCACTATACACCTTCCCAGTCTGAGAAGAGCTGCGAGAACTCTGGAGCAAGCAGAACTCACCATAACCATCCTCAGAGCCTCATAAGTCAGGACATTCTCCATCAGCCACCACCAGATGTGGGCAACAGACAGCCAGGTTCTGGAGTTCCCTCTGAACATGTGCCAGGACATAGTCAAATGCAGAGACTTATGACTTCAAGAGCTTTGGAGCAGCAAATAGTGTCTCAGCCTAGTATTGTCACCAGGCCATCAGATATGACTTGTGTCCCCCACAGACAAGAAAGAAATAGAGTTAGTAGTTACTCTGCAGAGGCACTTATTGGGAAATCCCCTTCTAATTCAGAGCAGAGGCTAGGAATATCAGGTCAGAGCTTGAGGACTTCAGACCATCTTGAAATGAGGACTTATCTTGATGTATCAAGAAATAAAGGATTAGTAATCCATAACATTCAGGGTCGCATATCTGGAGACCATACAGATGTTCAAAGACTCTCTGAATGCCAAACATTCAAGGCAAATGGCTCTAACCAGCAGCCTACAGGCAATTTTGATGCACAGTCTTCAAGAAACAATGAAATAGGTAATTCAATGCCATCTCTCAGGGGTATGCAGACGCAGGCTTTTCGAATTGCTCAAAATGCTGGGCCACCTATAGACAGACAGAAAAGGTTGTCCTATCAATCAATTCAGGGCATTTCAGCAGGAAATCCTCTTCCTCCTCCAAGGGACAATGAAAACACATGTCATCCAGGCTTCATGCAGAGCCTACTTGTCCCTCACCTTGGAGATCAAGCCAGTGGAAGCCAAAGATCGATTCCAGAACATCAGAGAAACCCACAGTGTATTTCCTCTTCCAACATTGAATATAATTGCCCCCCAGCAAGAGAGAGCATTCACATTCGAAGAGAAGGTGATGGTCAGAATAGGGAAAGTTGTGATATGTCCCTTGGTACTATTAATAGTAGGAATAATTCATTAACTATTCCTTTTTCAAGTTCTTCTGGAGATATTCAGGGTCGCAACTCAAGCCCTAACATTTCTGTTCAGAAATCCAATCCCATGAGAATGACAGAGAGTCATGGAACAAAGGGTCACATGAATACTCCAGTTTCTAGCAATGTACATGGGGCTGTCCGGCCTCCTCTCCACCACCCACCTGTCTCTCGTGGAAATGCTGACCAAGTACCACCATCTGTTCGTCAGCCAAACTCGTCAACTACTCAGCGATCAAGGCATCCTCTACAGGATAACAGTAGTTCTAAAATTCGACAGCCTGAAAGGAATCGTTCTGGAAATCAAAGGCACGGGAATGTCTTTGATCCTAGTCTCCCTCACCTCCCTTTGGCTGCCAGTGGTACTATGATCCTTGGACGGCAACAACCTACCCTGGAAAAACGGGGCAGTATTGTGCGATTCATGCCTGAGGCACCACAAGTATCTAATGATAGTACAGCTCCTGACCAGCATGGTTTATCTCAGAACTTTGGATTCTCTTTCATTCCAGAAGGTGGAATGAATCCCCCAATAAATGCCAATGCATCGTTCATTCCACCAGTGACTCAGTCTAGTGCTACTCGAACACCAGCCCTTATTCCAGTCGATCCTCAGAATACATTGCCATCATTTTATCCGCCATACTCTCCTGCCCATCCCACCCTGTCCAATGACATTTCAATTCCTTATTTTCCAAATCAAATGTTTCCTAATTCAAGCACAGAGAAGCCCAGTGGTGGAGGTCTAAACAATCGGTTTGGCTCGATTTTGTCACCTCCCAGACCAGTTGGCTTTGCTCAGCCAAGTTTCCCCCTTTTGACGGACATGCCCCCAATGCACATGGCCAATTCGTCGCACTTGTCCAATTTTAATTTGACTTCTTTGTTCCCAGAAATAGCTACAGCTCTTCCTTCAGATGGTTCAGCAATCTCACCTCTACTCTCAATCGCAAACACATCTGTTTCTGACTCTTCGAAGCAATCTTCAAATCGACCTGCTCATAACATAAGCCATATTCTAGGTCATGATTGTAGTTCAGCTGTGTGAAAAGTGGTTCTCTGGGAGTCAGAATACTGGGTTGTTTTGTGTGTGCATAAATGTAATGCATTCTTTGTATACGTATGCATACATACATGCTTGCATTTGGTGTTGCCATTGTTAAAGAGACCACTCATAGCACCTGTGTCTGTGAGAGCCATGTATACATGCAGCAGCTGTTTGTTTCTACATACCGTTGTTTTGAATTTCAGTATCAGTGCCTCAGTGCTTACTAGTGAGCATAACAACTTACTCTGTTTTAACAACTTGTAACAATCTCGTCGCTACCATCTGTAGTGCCAAGATCAACCCTGTGCAAAACCCTACCAGGAAAACACCCTTTCAGAGGTGTAGCTCTAATACTTGGAAAAAACTTGCTTTTGTCCTGGTATACATCTGTAAGAGCCTCAGAACCACCTCATTTGGAACAACTGTTTGAATCTTTTCATGCTATATTGTCTTGATTACTTGTTATCTTAACATTTATCATAGTCATCCATTATGGCTATGTGGTAAATTCTGTTGTGCATGAACAAAGTTTATTGCCATTTGGCTTCTGAGGAGCCGTATGAAAATTACAAAATAGAAAAGATGACTCTTAAAAAAAAAAGCTATTTTAATGCCTTCCAGAGGCATCAGTTTCTACTAGCATTTAGCATATTTGAAAAATTGCTTAGTGGCTCCCCTCTCCCATCAGATGTGACATTGATTCTTCTTGTTTCTGGCTTTCTCTTTGAGCTTTCTTGTGTTGTGTTGGGTACTTGTGTTGTTTCCTTCTTAAAGGAGAGAATCCCCCTTCCTTTTTAAATCTTTGTATTTTTCTTTACTTTTCTCTCAGATAAAGATCGTCTTCTAACATGAAACCTAATAATACAAACATTATGGCCTAGGGCAGCTTTCTTCAATCTGCCCCCCCCCCCAATAGTTTGGCTTTCAACAGCCATCAGCCCCAGGCACTATGGCCAGTGGTGAAGAATTCTGGGAAGTTTTCTTCAAATATCTGGAAGGTTGGGAACACTGCACTAGGATTTTGGTTGAAACTATATAGGCAAGCACAGTATGAATATCAAGTGCTAATTTAAATATGTTATTTTGCACTTAGATAGCACTTTTGTTCAGATAAGAGGCTCTTTGCTAGGAGTGGAAAGAGGAGCATGTGAAGTTTAAGCACTTTGCCGATTGGATGGACTTGGTAAGCTGAATGGAGATTAAGAATGCCAACTGGATGTGGTTGATTTAAAACATCAACCAGAAACGTTATCTGTTAAGTATGCCAAGAAACCATGTTTAAAACAGGTGGCAATATTATTTCAGTTCACTGAGCTGCTGGTAGCCAGACTTCCATGGTGGTAGGCAGACCTTGACCTAGGCCAACACTGCTTTTGGGGTGGTGGTTTTTTGTTTTTTTGCTAAGTTCTTTGCTTTTGACATTCCTTAAATTCCACAAAAATGGCTCAAGTTTTTATCTACAAACTGGCATTTCTTATCAGGTGCATGGAATGGTCTTCATGGTGAGATCTCATACAGAGGAATCAAAGGCATAAAGATTAATCAGTGCTTAGGGAATGTGGTGCTGTTGCAGCATGCCTCTGTTTTGGAGGGCTGCTGCAGTGACGCCATGGCCTCCTGTTCCAGAACCACCTTTCTTGGGGGAATGGTGATCTTGTATGAGTAATCTGAAGTGGCTAGCCTAGTCAGCCTTCTTTAGCTCAGCTCTCTGAATAGCTGTATATCTCAAAAGGTTCTGTTGGCCAAACTGGATGTAGGAAGTGCTTTCCAAGTGGTTGGTTCTCTGCTTCCCCCACCCAGTATAACTGTCTCCCCCAGGAAAAGGCCCTGGCTTCGCTTAGCAGTAAAGCTGAAATAATACATAGCATAGACATGAAACCAGAAACCAAAGGCACAATCTCAGCTGGCCAATCAAATTGCTAAATGCAGCTCACTTTTCCCTATGTTACGCAACATATTATGTTGCTCTATATTTTATTACTCTAGTTGAGGGGAACATAATTGTGTTGTCCCAGTGAAAACTGAAAGTGGCTATGTGACAGCTGTTACACCAATACTTGTAAAAGTACTTGAAAAGTTTACCCACAGTGGATTGGATTCAGAGAAACACCAGCAGGAAGCAGCAGGTATGTGACTTTCCATCTGTTCCTTCACCTGGCAGTCCCTGAGCCCTCCAGAAAGTTTTGAGGGTGGGATGGGCTGCAGAAATTGGGGAGTGGCAATCTTTGCTTCTCCCCTAAGATGTTCATGTCACAGCCTGCTCCTAAGAACAGGCATTTCAGGGTTGTCAGAAAAGGGCAGGGAAATTAGCTTTATAAAGTGTCTCTGGATCCAACCCATTGGCTAGATTAGTCTCTGCAGAAGCCTGAACATCCTTGCTCATTTTTTAAAAAAAACTTTGCCTTTTGACATGTACAGGCTTCTCTCTGAATGTTACTTTTTAGGTATCTTGATATCATCTGGACTTACAAACTAAGAAAATCAACATTTTCATGTTACAGAAATTAGAATGCCTTGGCTGTAAAATAGGATTGTCATAGTTGCTGATAATACAGCTTACAGTTTATCTTTTTCTTCTTTCCTACTGATTGCTTATAGTATTATTTGCCAGTTCCTAGGATGGAGAAAGTGTATTGCATTATTTGCATTATGAGAATTGAAACTAAAGAATCAAATAGTGGGTAGCAAGTTGCAAGATTCAAAGTGGAAGTGATTTGACTTCCATCTCCTGGCTTGCGATCTCAGTCTAATTTTATGAACTGATCAAGCTGTTATAAGTTATGTGATCTTAGCACACTTTCTCCTAAGAATGCTTTCAGTCACATAAGGAAGGTATAGAAAACACTCGATTCACAGGATTCCAGTTTTTGGATACATGTAAAATTCAACTGTATTCATCAGTAGCATATATAGGTGAAACAGTAGCTGAGTTGTCTGTAAATAGAGATGTTTCAAAGCTGTTTGGGACTGTGTATATCCCATCTTTTGTGTCTGTTGGGGACAAGCAGTCAGGCCTCAGTTTTCTGGTGGGAGCAGAGAAGCAAACCTCAGTGCCACAGAACATGATTGGCCGCAGTTTCCTTTAGCTCCTTAATGTGCAGCTGTGCCCACTTCCGTTTGGAGGGTTCCCTTCAGCATGTGAGAGAGGGAGCTGTTTCCTGACCCTTCTCTTTGCCTTGATTTGTGCCACATTTTTCACTGCATCCTGGAAACCTCAAACCACTATGTAGGGTCTCCCCATATTCGTTCAGACTTTAGTACAGAAATGTGGAATGACACTGATCAGGAACATGGATTATTATTGTAAATAAGATTTTCTGTGAATTTTGACATCTTTTTACAAAATTCATTGCATTCATATGTAAATATTTGCAACAGTGATTTTGATGAAAGTTCTCAAATTTTTTATTGTGTAACATTTTATTTACTGTAAACATTGTATAGATACAAACAAAATAGTATTTTATTTTAAAAATGCAGAATTTGTGTACCTTCATTTTTGTATGTGCACTGTGATTCCTCTTCTCCTTCTTCAAAACCAAAAATGAAACAAACTCAAATGCAAAGCTTATGATCCTGCACTGAAATCCTAGGTATAGGGTTGGATATGAAGGCTATAAACTTGAAATTAAAAAAAAAAAAGAAGAATTGAAAGCCAAGAAATTCAGTTTGCACATTTGTACTGATTTTATCTGTTATCTGCTTGCTTTTGCCATGAAAGTACATTGATTTTTAAAAATCTAGTAACAACATAGTCTTATGGCCACTAGACAAAATCTAGATGGCTGTAGGATTTTCCATATTCCCAGCTAAAAGGCTGGAAAATATGCTGGCCTCATAGCTGGGGATGTGCACTGGAATACGCTTGCCCCACCCATTGCAGCCAGTGCAGGCAGAACAGTGTGCTTCTCCAAAGTGGTAAAAATGACAGCAGAGAATGGCTTTTGGAGGTATTCTAAAGGGAGGAGTATGGAGGAGACAAGTGCTGGTAGAACTTCAGCTTTGGCATTCATGTTCCTCCCAACTTATATAGTATGCCTGTAATCCTGTGAGTTTGAAGAGTTGCAGGCATTCCCATGGGATTCTGCACTAAACTGCATCCAAGCATGCCTGCATGCTTGCAAACGTTCTCTTTTACCATTAGCATGACTGACTGATCCAGAGTTTGCTCTGTCTATCTCTGTTGGCTATCCCACCCTGGCTGCCATGAAACTTGAAATCCAGGCTGGTGGATGCGATCACAAGAGGAAGCCCAGTTTGGCTTATTCTTCTTGGGATTCCTACCTTTAGGGGTTTTCCACAATAATTGCTATGAAATAAAGCAAGCATATTGGATAAACCACATGCTCACTTTAACTTGGACTGCATTCAGTTGATGTTATGCACTTTTAGTCCTTTAATACAGAAACAAAATATAATTTAAAATTCAGGAGTACAAGCTAATGACTATGTAAGCCCATATTTCAGGTAAGAATGTTGTTGTTAGTCGCGAAGTCATGTCTGACCCATCGCGACCCCATGGACAACATTCCTCCAGGCCCTCCTGTCCTCCACCATCTCCCGGAGTCCACTCAAGCTCACACCAACTGCCCCAGTGACTCCATCTAGCCACCTCATCCTCTGCCGTCCCCTTCTTCTTTTGCCATCTATTGTATAATATCAATTTAAAAATACAGTAAAATGTGAAGCACTCCAAGTATGCTGGTATAATTTTACTGGGTAAAATTGGGATGGCAGGTAGACAGTTAATTCACAGCAAAGGTGCAACTTGAACCTGGGTCTTTCCAGCTAGCAACTTGCAAGACTGAGTACCACACACTGCCTGAGCTTTCTAATACACGACAGTAGACAACAGTTCAGGGCTAGGGTTAGCTTATTAGCTATGAGTATCTAGGTTAGCAGAGAAAGTTCTGGAATACTGTCTCTTTAGACAGTGTGAGCTGGAGGTCATGACCCCAGGCATGTGTAGCCAGTGTTTGAGCTAGCAGGATTTATGAAAACGTTTCTTGCAGTAAGTGGTATAGGAATAAAAAGAATCCTGGTTGGAGTTCTCATCTTCCTTTGAACTAGCTGCAGGCAAGGGCAGCACTGGATACTCTGCACCCAAGCAGGATTTCACTATTGTGCTGAAGTTTTATTACTCAGATAAACAAAGGGCAATTCAAGCTGTGTTAATGACTGCTGTAAGAATAAAGGGAAGTACCAAAAACCTTTATCATTCAACTGACATGCCTTTACATCATTATTACAAATGTGGATAATAGTGATACATACTTTATTTTAGCAAAATGTGGTACAAGTGGGTACACAGCCCCCTGCTCCATATAATCCTGTGTTTAAACAATAACACAATTTGGTAAGAGCATAGAAGTACTTTCTTCAGCTGCTACCCCCCCCCCCCAATCTTATCAGAAGAAAAACTGGAGTTCAGGTTCACAGCAAATGTCCAACAGCAAATTGCTGATATCTGTAAAAGAGCAGCAGCAGCAATATCTAAGAGACAAAGACAGTTTATCTTGAAGCAGTATAACTGCAGTACATTGTAATGCTGCATTGAACATTTGATAAAAGAACCAAAATTTGCATGTCAATCAAAAGGGCCAATGCTGTAATGTAAAATGGCAGGCTGAGAAAAGCAGCAGATTCCATTAGATTATTAGTTTAGATAGAAGTGCTTCCTGCCAATTGTGCTATAAGATTACTTAAAATAGGCTGTAAGAAGTGGGGAAAGTACATTTTCTTAGAATATTTTCAAATTCAAATTGCCATCCCATTTGCAAGGGTGCAGACTGGATACGTCAATCTAATGTTGATAGTTCAAACAGTTAAAAGAACTATTTTAAAAAATCAGTGTGCATCTGGAAGAAACGTCACAAACTGAGAACAAAATAATATATTGGGAACTTTAAAAATGCGTATGTCTTCTGGAAAAGACCTGAAGGGTAGATGCATAAATTTCTTTGCCCCTCTGAGCCACCCAGTGACAAGGAAAAGCCTTACAGATACACCCATCAATTAAGCAGGTTTCTGTGTTCTGGTTCTGGCTGATGGGACAGTGTTTCTGTGTGCTGCTTCATTGCTATTCTTGCTCAGAAGACCAGTATCTTGTCTCTCCGCACAGAGTCCAAGTCATCATCCAGCGTGAGTAAGACCTAGACCAAACAAGGCAAAACTGAAGTCAGGCCCTTCACTGACCTTGTTCATGGCTTCCTTTCTTTTTTCCAGCAAACAGGAGAGTGGGCAGGAAAGAGCTGACTACTCCAGCAGAGGCAGACCCAAGAAACTTGTCCCAACTAGAGATGAAGAGCTTCCCAGTTTCTGAATAATACACCTTCCCTACGCATAGTATTTCACACACACCCGCAACTCACAAAGTGCTACTTGCCACAAATAGGTGGGAGGAAACAGGCAGGATGAGGAGAAGCTCTTGCAGTGGTCTTTATGTCTACATACAAATGCCCCCAGCATGAACTTGAACTCCTAATACAGGAGGATCAATATGACCTGATAAGTATAACTGAAACTTGTGGGATGACTCCCATTGCTGGAATTCAACAATTGAAGATTATAACCTGTTCTAGAACAACAGAAGGAACAGAAAGGGAGGCAGAGTTGCTCTATATGTTCAATACGTATCTCTGCACAGAAATCCAGGAGGGTGAGCTTAGTAGCCCCATCAAGAGCATCTGGATTAATATAAATGGTGCAAGGAATAAAAGGAGCACAGTGGTTGGAGTCTGTTACAGACCAGCCCGACAAGAAGATGATGAGGATGAAACTTTTGAAAAGCAAATTGCTAGTGTTTCAAGGGGACATGATGTCAACCTTATTGGGGGCTTCAATTTCACAGATATCTGTTGGGAGATGAATTCTGCAAAACAGCCCCTCCAAGGGATTCCTAACCAATGGCCTAGGGAGGCTACAGACTTTCCCTCATTAGACACATGCAAAATGCAACTGAACAGCCATCTGAGAGGGATGGTTTAACTTGGTTTCCTGCACTGAGCAGGGGATTGGCCCTGGTGGCCCACTGGCCCCTTCCAACTCTACTATTCTATGACTGATCACTGAAGAAAATCACATTCTTCACCCGAGACAGAAGACAACATCACTTAATTTCGGTCCCAAGCCTTCCTCTCCAAAGGAGAGGAAGTAACACTAATTGGATATGAGGAATGCACTTAGAATCTACATCCCAAAGATATCAAAAATTCAGCAGCGGTAGTATGAGTTTTCTTGCCAGCACTTTTGAGCATCCCTTTCTTGCCTTTCTCTTGCTTGATGACTGGTCAGCAAGCAGGGAAACAAACCACCTCTCTGCATTTCATGGTTTGGGAGATGATTGCAGCATCACTTGGGCATGACACCCCCCCCCAACTCCCCGCCCGCCAACCCAGGATTAAGAACTTGCTAGGAATTTCCTCTGTTCTATGTTTACTCATTAACAGGGGTGGCTGGTGAGCCCTTTGTCAGTGAGGATCCTCCCCTCACTCCCTGCAGATTTTGTTTGGATCTTTACAGGGATTTGTCCATGGTGCTCTATGGTGGCAAACTTACTTTGGGATGGAATCCAGCACCTTAGGGTTGCTGCACGATGGACCTCCACGGCCATGCCTTTTCTTGGCTGTTGACTAAAAAGGAACTTTGCAGCAAGTTCAACTTCCCATTCTATCACTGAAAGCTCAAGAATGCAAGTGATTCTCCCCATTCTCTTTGAAGTAACTTGTTGTCTTTGATAACATCAGAATGATGTGTCTTTCTTTCATGAGTACCTTCTAGGTACAGTGGGCACAGCCCACACCATGTTTTGTAAAACGTTTATGTTCATATCTTCCTCTCCATGAAACCAAAGGCACTTAAAAGAGTGGAAGTGGAGCAATTCTTTAGCAGTGGCTGTCTAAGTATTCACATGACATGGAACCTTTGACGAATCACTAGTAAAACTCAGTGTGAAGTCCAGCCCAATTTCACAACACTGCTCACAAAAGGCTGCTTCTGGTGGTTGCTAAGCTGACTGACTGGGAGGATCTAGGGTGCTTGTACAAGTCCCAAGATGCATGTTGAATCTAAAGGTGTGAATTCATGGCCACTGGTTCTGATGACTCCATGCTACATTTTGGACCAAATGCAGCATACTAGATGCTGTGAACAAATGGGGAGAAGGCTTGAGGGCTGTTCATGGGCATCTTGCTGGCCAACAAGATGCTGAACTAGATAGGTTTTCTTCTGATCCAGCAGGACTTTTGTTATGTTCTTATTCATGGCTGATTAACATAACCATTACAGATGCAAGAAAGAAAAACAAACAAGTATAATATATGAAAATACTTGAATGAGTCTAGAACCCTGTCTGGCACATCTTAGTAGAAGATGAAGGAAAGCCTCACCAAGAAGGAGAAGAACAAGGCAGCTGCTGAAAGGAAGTGCCAAACATCATGGTCATCAAAGAATTCCAGAAGTATACATGGGCGGTTTTTCTCCCGGGATTCTGCTGGAGTTTCCTGAGGCAAAAACAGACAGTCAGTAAATTCCAGCTCTCTCAAAAAATTCTGCTCCTCCAGTGTGGCACAGATCTTGAAATGTGCTAGCACTACTTGTGTGTCAGAAAATCAGAAACCAATGTTGCTTAGTAAAACACACAAACGTCACAGTTTCTGCAGCGGGCAACTGTGAGTTTACAAGAGACCTTCACAATAATTCTTTATACCGTTGGCAGTATCAGATTTCTGGATCATATGGACTGATTGGAATGCAGCAGAATACCCACCCACCTGATTGGAACTTCCACCTTTCCTGACAGTCTTGTACTTCTACGAGTGCTTGAGAAAAGGCAGAGATACAAGATTCATGATCTTGGTTTCTGTTTCTTTGTTGTTTGGTGGAAGAGAGAATTTAGCCAGGTGATGATCACATTTTCTTTTCCGTCCAATGGTTAAAGACACAGGAAGGCAACTTGACTGCATCTGCCAAGCCAAAAGGCAGGCAGTGGCCCAGAGAACAAACTGATGAACAAGCCAACTGAATGGATGTTCTGGGCAATTTGATGGAAAAGTGGCATATAAGGATAGTAAAATAAATAATACACAATGCAGCTGATAATACTTTGGCTAATCCAATGAAATCCAAATGCTTAGGTTAAATTATATACAGATATGCAAATACACACAATATATATACTGTGGATGCCTCAGTATTGTACATCTTCTTTTTCCATAAGAGATGTCATTCTGCTGGTGTAGACAATTATCTTTCATTCAACCTTTGTCCAGCACAATCCAATTTACTTATTAGAGGAAAGTATCAATTTAATCACAAGAATAGCTAACCCACTAAAACAAAAGGACAATAGCTGCATTTAGAAGTAATGGATAGCATCTACATTTGGATCAACATCCAAATGCATTATCTATGCATTTCCTAAAAACAAAGATGTCAGGTATATACTCTGGCATTTCTGCAGATTCTTGAGATCATGAGGTGGACAACTCTGTAGTTATAGAAGACAGGTTCTAGGCATCCTTGTGCATAACCGACTGTCAGGAATACTTGCAGTTGCAAACATTTTGTACCTTTGGTTGACAGAAGACAACAGTGCCTGACAGCTTGTGCTGTGACCTGGGAACTAGGGTGAGGCAGGAAGGGCGAATGGGGAGTGACAGTGAACAGACAGTTCCCCTCAAAAGCACACAACCATGTTTCATTACCATAATGAAGTCTTTTTTTAAGGCATGCTCAAAATAGGCCCAGCTTATTTAGCTCAGTACTGTCTATTCTAACTAGTAGGGGCTCTTGAAGGTCTCAAGCAGAAGTCTTTTGAAAGACCTCTTCCAAAGACACCCCCGCAAACATGAATACTGTATGCTTCCTACAGTAATGGCAGCCAGAGAGGTGTGGTTCATCAGTTCTATAGTTCATCAGTTGAAGTTTGACCCGTTTTCTCATGCAAACTTGACTTCATGGGGAAGTCCACAGGGTGGCCTTGGACAGGTGGGCTGCTTTTTACTCTGACTCAATTGGTGAGAGTGGATGATGAGTTTTTTGTCACTTCTGTTTTGCTTGTCAAATACAACTTGGTTATTTCAGTTATATGGCCAAGCTTGCAATTGCAAATTTGACTAGAAGCTAGGTTTCTAGCTTTTACAACTTCAGCACATCTTCTGCTACTGAAAGTATTGACCACAATTCAAGTTTACCAATACTGTTTATCTATGACTACAATAGAATAGGCAATTAGGTGACTGGTTTGTCTAACAAATGCAACACTGCTTTTGCATCTAAGTTAGAAGGGTCTAGGGATGATAGGTTATATCTTATTCAGCAAAACTTCTGTTTCATATTCATTGGGCACCACAATGTCTTTTTAATAAGGTCGCCTACCTGCTGGAGGTGTAATAGTTGTTTGCTACACTGACCCACATATTTTAGCAATGTCCAGTGGTTGCCTGTTTTTGGATGGCAAAGTACACACTGAACGTTTTTAAAGATTTGATGATGCACACATTCGTATAAATTATTTACCTGCTGAATGGAACCTATCACAAGGACAATGTAAATGGACTTTCCTTTTAAGAGCCAAAAGGTAGATATTACAACATTGGAAAAAGAAACTCCCACCTCCTTAACACAATCAATTGAGGACCTAATGATGCTTTCAATATTGTACTGCAGATGGATATACATATAGATATTTGGTCCACCTTTTCTGAAGCTTATGCAAAACTGTTTCTACTGAGAGCTGTAGTACTACATGCTTATTGATATACATTTCATACATAACTATTGTAAGAAATTTATCTTCATTTGTATAAGGAGACTTTTTATATGTTTTTTGTTTCTTTGTTTTGGTGAACTTCAGGTCAAGAAAAATTATTTTAAAAACTTAATGTGTAGTCTATGGTTTAGCTCATTTCCACCCATATTCAGCTGTACATCTAATTTGTGTGTGTGTGAGAGAGAGAGAGAGAGAGAGAGGTTCACAGACTGCAGATCAAATTATTGCAACAGAGGACTAAATGAAGGCTTGCTGAAAGCTGTTCTCTCAACTTTAGCCCCTTCCTCCATGTCTAATAGACCACTTTGTATTCTGGGAAATGTATGAAATATTGGATAAACACAGGAGATAACACTCAAAGCAGGAAAAACAGGGTAGCACCACCCTTGAAAATACAGATTGACCACCTGGGGGCCCTTCTGGATCCATCTTAAGCCCTAGGTGCTGAAGCGGCAGTTGTGGCCAGGTATGATTCTGTGCAGGGCTGAGCGGTGCAATGGCTACACCCGCACCATGCAGAATGCAGGTTTAGCCTTCTTCAAATACCTGAAGGGTTGTCACATGAAAGATGGCAAAGACTTACCTTGTGCTGTCCCAGGAGGCAGGACTATGTTGAAGGAACTTTAGTTACAGAAAGGCATCTGTTGACTGATCTGAGAAGTGTCTTCTTAACAGTAAAAGCACTTTGACAATGGGAGCCATTGCCAATGTGGGGAGGAGGAGAGGGGGTGCTTCCCTCGGCTGGAGGTCTCTGCGCAGAGGCTGAACAGCCACCTGCAATGGAAACTTCAGCTCTGAACTTCCTGCACTGAGCAGGTTTCCCTGGGCGGCTTATAATGATTCTGCCAGCAGAATAAATCTACAGGTCTGATGTCTGGATAGATTTGAATGGTTTCTTAGCTAGTTTTCCTTTGAGTCAAACATGCATAAGCTTGCACTTAATGGCCTCTATGGTTGCTTAATGGAATGAAAAGTCTATTTAGTTATATTGTACATATCTGTATAATTAAGTTGCTTTTGTTAAAAACTGACTTAACATTGGGACTCACTCCAATTTTCAGAAAAGTATTGGGGTAAATGGTCAAGCAAGTGTGAATACATGGAGACCAAGCTGTAAGCAAGCAGCGTGTGAGAACCAAAGAAGGTGCTTATATGGTGTGGAAGTTAAGGCTGGGTGCTCTAATTTGCAATGCCCATGGGTTTGGGGTATATAAGCAGTTGTCAGTACTTTAATGCTTCCCTTCAACCAGAGATGGGGATCTTTTTTCCTTCAAACTGCCAGGAACGATAGATTATGATTTAAAATATTTCATTAACACAATGGCAATATTCCATTAACACAAAAGTGCTTCAGTGTTTCTCTGTCCACAGAATGAGCATCTCAAATATGTTTGGTAGCTTAAAGTGCAAGAGAGAAACTCACCTCCCAGCTGCTAAGGTTTTGAAAAAAGAAATAAAGGGCTGCAGCCCAAACCACAGCTGTGGCCACGATACAGAACAGGGGGATGGGCAAGAGCCTCTCTGCGTTCCGGAGCTGGAAAGACAAAAGCCTTAAAGTGATCCTCCCAAGTAAATGCTGTTTGAATGAACACTTCCCAGAACTGTGGGTGCACAGTTAAGCCAGAAAGCACCTCAGTCAAGTCACATCTGAAAAGGCTTCTGCTCAGACCACTCACTGCTTTGAACCCAAAGGAACCTGCTTGCATCTTTTGGCAGCTGCTTTTCATTCTGCCATGATCTTAGCATAGTCAGTTGTCAGATACTTCATCTTAAAACTGGAATCTGCCCAAGCATGTTAAAGAGGGCCAGTTGAGGATTTGATGGGAAAAAGGTTTCTTGTTCCATGTGCATAAGAACTCAAAGGCTTCCATGTTGCCTGGGGGCTCTAGGCTTTTAAAATTAACAGGGCACTGCATCTACATGGACCCTGAATTCACTGCTCCAGCAGGGCATCCCTAACTTTCAGGATAGCACCCTCCCCAGGTCAGCAGGCAGGAGTTACAAATCCTGAAAGAAAGGAACTACCTATCTGGAATCTTTCAGATGAGATTTTTTTTTGTTAAGTTCCTGCATATTCACATCTTTTCGGGCTTTTTCCTCTCTTCCTCCTCTCCACTCCCACTTGGCATATCTCAGAAAGAGCAGGGCCTTTGCACAATTGGCAGGAATAGGATTGATGGCTGGATTACAAGAAATTAGGATGTGGCTTACAGGGCTAAGTTAGAGAAGGGAATCATCTAGACCAGCCTTCCCCAACCTTGTGCTTCGCAGATACATCTGGACTGCAACAGACTGCAATTCCCAATCAATGGCCCTGCTGGATGGGACTTGTGGTCCAAGTGAAGGACGCCCCGTTGGGGAAGGCTGATCTAGACAACAGGGTTACAGAAATCTGGAGCCCCTTTGTTTCATACAAGAAGAACAAAGATCAGGATGCAGTACACATCTATATTCTGTTAAACACAATTTAAACATTTTAGAAGAATTTCATTTATAATGTAGTTGAGAAAAAATAGGTGTACTCTTTTGTTGTGGCCTTTGCTACAGCAGTGGAATAGCTGGCACACCTCTGCAGAACAGCCTGGGTGGCTGGCATGGCTTTGAGGCAATGCCAACACAGGTCTGCAGAGGGGCTGCTGTGGCTCTGTAGAAGAGATGCTTGCCATGCCTTACTCAGAGGGAGACACTGGGTGGCGACAGGTGGCAGGTGCCCCAGAGAGCTGAAATGGTTGCTTTCCTGTGGAAGCATTTGCTGTAGGAAAGGAGTGCCATCGGGGCTCTCCCTGTGCATAACAGACATTATGAGATCTGCTCTATGATTTTCCTAGTTTCCAAAATCAGTGGAGGTAAGTGGCCTGCCCTGGACTTTTAGAAGCTGAATTTGCTCCTTCAAAGGTGCAAATGCTAAGAATCCTTGCTGCAGCTGTTGCCAAAATAATTTCCTTGCAGCCAAGACATCTGAGGCAGAATTCACATTCCAATCAAGAATGAGCTCCCCAGATATACACTGGTTTCCTTACGATAACTGCCATGTTCAGTTCTAAGTGCTACTCTTTAGATTGATCAGGGCCTGATAATTCACCTGAGGGCACAAAGCTTATATTTCTGTCTAAATGACATCTTGAAGGGATGCTGGACTCAGCTCAGTCTATGACTGATTCCTCTGAAGAATGACAACACAAGGTCATTGTTCACAAGCCCAAGCCGCTTGGTACGGAGTATCCATACCTAACCCCCAGGTATTAGATAAGCTTTGGTGAATCTAATTGCCTGAAAGGACCAAGCAATGAGCAGGCCCAGGAGTGAAGCCAGGGCAGGACAATGGACCAAGAAATAGTTCCTGAAGCAAAGCAATACTGAAACACATACGCAGGCTATCTTTAGCAAAAGCACTCTCACTGACTGGTGTTCAGTCAGGTGCCCCATGATTAAAAGGTAAAGGAAAGGTAAAGGTTTCCCTTTGACATTAAGGTCCAGTCATGTCTGACTCTAGGAGGTGGTGCTCATCTCCCTTTCCTAGCCGAGGGAGCCAGTGTTTGCCTGCAGACAGTCTCCATGGTCATGTGGCCGGCATGACTAAACACCGAGGTGCATGGAACGCTGCTACCTGCCCACCAAAGTGGTACCTTTTTATCTACTTGCATTTGCACGCTTTCAAACTGCAACGTTGACAGGAGCTGGGATGGAGCAACAGGCGCTCACCCCATTGTGCAGACTCAAACCAGTGACTTTTCAATCAACCAGCCCAGCAGCACAGCAGTTTAAACCACTGCGCCACCTGCATCCCTATATTATGCCTGATTAGGGGCAATAATTAGATTGTCACAAAATCAATACACTGAGTAGTTTTCTCCAGGTTAGTCTTAAGTCATCAACCGGAAATTTCCCAATCCTGGCATGAACATGTGCAGATTAGATTGTGCCCATGCCAAGCTAATCCCTTTGGACCATGAATGGCCTGAGAAACAAGTCCTCACTGAGAATTCAAAGCCATGATTGACACAGCCAGAGTGTCACAGTCTCCAGTGTCTCTGTCTGGCTGCAGAGTCATTTGCCCTACAGAAGCCTTTGTATAGGAAACCTGGGCTTCAAGCTCTCAGTGTTGTAGCATTGCCCATGGGCCCCACTTCAATCTACAAAATCCACTGACTCCTTGCCCTCCAAAGTCAAGGAATCGGTGGGGTTTGAAATAAGCTGGTTTCCTGGTTACCACACAAAGCAGCAGGATGCCACACTAGCTTGGGGTTGCATGACAAGCATACTTAGCTGGCTTTTGATCATCTACTGAAATAACTGAATCTGGAGGCCTGCCCCAGCGGATGCCTTTCTTGTATAGCACATGCTCTGGCTGCCGGCACCCACTGAAGCTGAAGTGGCTGTCTGCTTGGAGCCCTCTTCTTGCACCCTTTTCCTTTGTTGAGAACTGAGTGGCTTCAATGCACCCCAGCTGGGGCTACAGAACAGGACAGCTTTCTTTCATGTGGCCTGTCTTCTGGAGGATTGATTCCCAGCCACAGGGGCTCATGGAATACATGGCACCATTTGGCAGGAAGATGGCAGCACATGGAAACTACCCACAATTCATGAAGGTATGAATACAGGTAAGAAAAGTAACTTTGCACTATTGTTTAGCATTACATGTGTTAGCCCCATGGTATGTATTTTGATTCTTGTTTGGTTAATAAAATTCCCCATTTTCAAAGAAGTTTGAGTGTGTATATGTGTCACTGGGTCACTTTTGCTAAGATTCACTGGTGCTGATGTTAAAAGGTCATTTAATGGGTGTTACTTGTGTACGCACACCGAGAGAAGATATTTGCTAAAACCTCACATGGAGTACAGGATCAGTTCTAGCTGAGATCATGGCTCAGTCTAGATGCATTTGCTGGATTTGTTTCAGTTCATGCAGTCTAAAGGCAGAGAACAGGATTCTTGGAGAGTTAACATTTACCACATGTGAGCTTGAACATCCTAACCAGCTGGTCTCAGCAGCCAAAGAAAGTTTGGCAGTTTGGGTGGCAGAAGTAATTCATGTCTCCTTACATAAAAGTATTGTTCTATCTGTGTTGAAATCAGTCATAGAAACATAGAAAACAGAGTGAGTCAGAAGGGGCCTCCCAGGCCATCTAGTCTGACTTCCGGCACCAGCCGGCTCCGCTCACGACATGCCCACCATGTGGACGTCCAGCCTATCCTTGAACACCCACACCGATGGGGCCTCAATGACCTCTCGTGGAAGCCCATTCCACACCCTCGGGGTTCTGACTCAGGAAGTGCTTCCTGGCATCCAAACGAAACCTTGGCTCCCTGAGCTTTGCTCCGTTGGAGCAAAGCCGAAGCTTCAGTTGGAGAAGCTATCATTTATCTTCTGTCCCATGCTGGTAGGTTGTTAGCTTATCATTTTTGCCTCCATATTAAGTCCTGCTTTGTGAATCCTCCTTACATTTAAGGAAAGGCATGAGTTGCTTGCCAGACTGATCTATTCCTAAGGGCCCAAACAGATGTGATCCCAAAAGTAGAAATACAAGGGGGGTGCCAATCTTTTCTTTTTGTTTGCTTTAAAGCAACTGGAACAGGAGAAAAGGTGCTCTAAGTTTCAGTTTGACAACTACTCTGAAAGGAGGGAATGTTTTTTCCCTTTAACGCACAAATAACCTGGCCCATATTTCCACACCCCACAATAGCCTTACTGTGTGTTTGGTGCCTATGTGTATTGTGGGCTGGCTTGAATCAGAGAAATGTCAGGGGGTTGCAAAGGATGTTTTAATGCAGGCAACCTCTCTTGCCAAGAAAATGGCAGAGCATCTTCCAACCTGGGGCTCAGTAAAGACTGGGGAAGAGCCATGTGCTTCACTTCCTTCTGCTTATTTATCATAACAACAATGGCCCCACTGCCCTTTTTGTGGTTCAAGGGAGTGGAAGAGAAATCCCTGTCCCTTTTCTACTAGAGCTCAGAAAGCAGCAAGGCAGCCAGAGGCTGTCTCCCCACAAAGCAGTGGCATGCGAGGCATGAGGGGCTGAGGCCCTCTCCTCCAAGGGGGAGCGGCCTCATGTTCCAACCCCGCCCTCTTCCCTCACAGGCTGCAGCTGCTGCCTCTGCAGGGAATGGCCTGCCTCTCCTGCGCCCCCACCCCCGCTCCTAAAGTGGACTCCAGCACAGATTGGAAAGAGGAAAGGGGAGACAGAGGTGAGCTTGGTCTCCTCCCAGAGTTGCTGCTGCTGGAATCTGAAAAGGAGGGAAAGAATAAAAATTGTGATGCCCTGAGGCCCTTCTTGGACACAGAGAACATTTCTGCATCCAGTTTCAGGTATGCAACATCACTAAACTGCTAGAATGCTAAAGCAATGCGTATTTTAGGATATTCTCCTGCCTTTTTCAAGAAAATGCGATGCAGTAATCAGAAAGTGGCACGGTAGGGGTGTGTGTAATTAAAAGCAGGACTGCCGCACAGTCCTAAATATGTCTACACAGAAGTAGGACCCACTGATTTCAAGATGACTTTCTCTGAGGTAAATGTGCATAGGACTGCAACCTGAAAAGAAGGCATGGCACGGTAATGGAAGGCACTACAGGAATAGAAGAGAACTGGAGATGTTTAATCATGTTTAAAGCACGGGAGAAGCAGCACCCCTCAACACACATAGAGTTTTTTTTGGCATCAGGCAAGCTCTGGTGGGTGCATAGTCCTTCTTGACCCTCAGGGGTTTGTACTTCCTAGATAAAGGTGAACAGACATGAAGGAGCATGATGACCTCTTGTTTTTTTGAGTTCAAAACCACAAAGTGTCTTGTGATGACCTGGCTAAAATTCACAAACTTATTGTGGCTTAAGAAGTGTTCATGGATTACAGCTTACTACCTTAAAAGGCAAAATAATTTATTGGCTCTTGGTATTATGCCCCTTGGCTCAGAGATGGTGTTTGCTGTTCCACCTCTGGAAGCAAAATGTCTTGGGCCAGAACTAAAAGCCCACTGCTTTGAGCCTTTCCAAGACTCAGTACCAGACTGCCAAGCCTGAGATCCCCTTCCCAGGTCAGAGCTGAGCTGGCCTAGTGTTTGTGTGCACTGTCATGCTATGCACCAAAGATGTTCAGGAGACCTCTAGGACAGTATCAACAGCAGCTGCAACCCCACAAAAATGTGTGAATGTCTCTGGGATGCCAGGGATTGAATCTGTGACCCCTACCCTGACCTGGGGAAAAAACAGAACCAAGAATGCCCAGCAGCTGCCTCTTGCTCAAAGATTCAAAAACCTGGAGTTGATTTTGGAGGAGCAAATGTGGAGACCAAGCCTTGGAAATCCACATTTTGGCACAGAAGCAACTTTTTGCAAAGCTCATTGTTCCCATTCATATCTGGAAAGCAGTTTTTAAAGCTCATACAACATGCAAGATAATTGAATTGAGGCATCGCTTACCTTCATAATAACGTAAAAGGCAAGATACAGCAGAAGATTACAGATAAAGATGCCCAGCATGTATGAGGCAAAGTCCTTAGGTCGATAAACCAGTCCGAAAATGGCACTAAGAGGATGGAAAAAGGTTATGCAGTCCAAGATGCATACACAAACTATGCACTGCTCTTCTGAATTACTTTGGCTAGGATAACTATGACCTTCTAGAAAATAAGCTCTTGAGTCTGGATTCATGTTCTGTCATCATCACTGTCATTACTGTCTTTTTAAATAAACTGGCTTAGTTTTAGTTATTGTACAATATCTTGCAGACCCGTTTGGATAAAAGGAAGTTTAGGACCCTAATGAACTGACCAAAGATTAGAACCCCCTCCCCCTCTATGCCTGAAACAAGCATTCATTGAAAGAATGTAGGGAGGAAACTCTCTGAAGCATTCCTCAAGTTGCCGTATTGTAAATCCAATGTTAAAAGTCAATGCAATAGTTAAAAGTACCTCATGAAGCTGTGTTTTGATCATGATTCCTAGTTATTGTAGTAGCAAAGACTCTATCACAGGCCAGACTTAACATACAATGGCAATTTCATGCATTTAAATATAGAATTGTCTGAAGGATGCAGTTCTATGGGATGCGCAGTTCCATGTTTAAACAGAACAAAACCTTCCAGCAGAGCAAACAGCAGCTACAGGGGGAATCATTACCAATCAAGTAGCAACTACAAGTGAGCCTAGAAGAAAGCCACCATAGAAAGAAACATAGAAACGGAATGAGTCAGGAGGAGCTCCTGGGCCATCTAGTCTGACCACTGGCTCCACTCAGCATGTCCTATCCCTAAACACCCTCACCGATGGGGCTTCAACCCCTTCCATGGAAACCCACTCCATAACCTAGGGGTCCTAGTCATCAGGAAGTGCTTCCTGGCATCCACCTTGAATCTTGGTTCCCTGAGCTTTGCTCCATTAGAACGTGTCCTGCCCTCCACAGCAGAGAAAAAAAGGTCACAATCCACCTCTGTCCGACAACCCTTCACATACCTGTATGTTGTTAACAGGTCCCCTTTTCTCCTCTTCTCCAGGCTGAAAAGACCCAGTTCCCTCAGTCTCTCTTCATATGGCTTACCCTCAAAGCAGCCACCATCCTCGTGGTTCTTCGCTTCACCGATTCCAACCTTCCTATATCCCTCTTATCATGAGGGGCCCAGAACTTAACAAAATACTCCAGCTGTGGGCGCACCAGTGTTGTATACAGTGGCAGTAATACTTCTGATCTAGAAGCCACACTTCTGGCTACGCATCCTAGGGTGGCATTTGCCCTCTTGACCACCGCGTCACACTGCTGACTCTTGATTAGCCTGCTGATGACCAGCACCCCGAGATCCTTTCCACAAGTGCTGCTCTCCAGACACTTGACCCCTAACCTGTACTTATGACACCCACTCCTATGCCCCAAGTGCAAGACCTTGCACTTATCTGCATTGAACAGTATCCTTTTGTCCCTGGCCCAGAGTAGCTGCTCCTCAACTATAGCCACTGTCCCCATTTTAATGTCACCTGCAAATCTGATCTGCAGACTTGTCACCCCCTCTTCCAGGTCATTGATGAAAAGACTGAACAGGATCGGTCTCAGGACAGAGCCCTGGGGGATGCCGTTTGTCACCAACCACCATCCTGATGATTCCCCACTAATAGTTACCATCAGCTTTCAGTCCATCAGCCATGCCCTAATCCATTGGACAGTTCATTGGTCTGTCCCAAAACTCCTTAATTTCTCAACCAGGATATCATGTGACACTTTGTCAAAGGCCTTGCTGAGATCCAGGTAAACCACATCCACTGCATCCCTTCCATCTAGCCACCTCGAAACCCTGTCATAGAATTCTACAAGGTTTGTCTGGCAAGACCTGTTTTTGTGAAAACCATGTTGCATGGCTGCCAACTTCCCTTCTCTATCTAGGAACTCCAAAGCGTTTCCTATTATGAGCCTTTCCATTGTCTTTCCCAGAATGCATGTAAGGCTAACCAGCCTGTAATTCCCCATGTCTCCTCTACTACTCTATTTGAAGGTTGGGACCACTGACCCTCCAGTCCTCTTGAACCTCACCCATTCTCCACAAGGCCTCACGAGGCCTCATCAACACGGCAGTTCATTCTCTTTTACCTGATCCTATAAACAGATAGGGAAAGGTATAATGTAGTGGGGGGAGGGGGGAGTATAACTGTAACTAGGGTGGAATTTGTCAGCCTGATACAAAAGACCCTCTCCCTCCCCATTGCAGTAACTGCGGAGTACAGGCCTGTAGCTGTGGTAGAGGGGAGGTGGTTCAATATTTTTACAAACAAATCATAAAAAGTCTCCTATTTTGTTTTCTAAAGGTCTATAAACCTGATGAACTGTCCCTGGACCTTCTGGTGCCCCATCATACATCCAAGGCAAAGAAGCAGTTGTGCAGAGGTAAGAAGGAGCTAGCCCTTATTCTAACAGCTGTCTGTTCTTCCTTATGGGGACTTAGAGCAACTCTCTAGGTGTATCATGTAAACAGCAGGAATGAAGGGAATCCTTTCTGCTGGAAAAGCCTGAAGAATCTCAGGATGTTGTTTTTTGGGGGGATGGAGGAAGAGCTTCAGAGGGCCAGTCCTTTATGTAAGTATTTATTTATTGCATCTGTATACCACCCCATAGCCTGCAGGGCTCTCTAGGTGGTGAAGAAGTTTAAAACATATAACAGTAAAATGGATGGTCACAGAACAATAAAATCAAATACAACAGAACTTTACAAAACTCAGATATCCTCATCCCCCTGCCACCAAAAGCCATCCCATATAAGACAATTCTGACCATATTAAGCACATATTTGCTACTTACAAAGACCAGTTCACAAGGTTCCCAACAACAAGCAGGATCATTCTGTCCTAGAAAAAGGAAGCAGTAACCAGAGATAGGTATAAAATCACAGCCAGAACCTCTTGCCAGTGCAGTAGGAAGCACAAGTACCTAACACACAATCCAATTAGATTAAACATTTTTAAATTTCATGGATTTTAATGGGACAGAATGAACCACATATGTAACTTCAGAAGATAAAAAAAACTTACCTCTAAAGGAGTACCTAAAGAACTTTAGAAATAAATGTATGTTCCTATTATTAATAAAAATAAACATTTACAGAAATTGTGTGTGTATGTGTATGCTTGCATGTGGATTTTGCAAAGTATTTAATTAAATATTCATGGTAAAATATACACTGCTCCATTATAATTCATCAATAAACAATCCAAAATCAATTAACTATACAGGCAGTCCCCAGGTTATGAATTTCCTGAGAAAATGGAAATTTGTCTTTAAGTCAAATTTGCATGTACATTGGATCACATATAGTTGGCCCTCCATATTCGTGGAGGTTGGGAACACAGGACCCCTAATGAAAGCAGAAAAACCACAAATATCTCTAGGCCCCCTCCCTTTCCAAACTGACCAGTGCCTCCTCTTTGCAGCAAGGAAATGATGGAGAGATTTCCCTCTCCAGATAGGCAGGGCAGGAAGGCATGCTTTGGAGGCCTCCCTCTCTATACTTTCACTTCCTCTCTCTCTCTACATGGAGATGACCATTTTTGCAGTAATTAAAAAAAATGGTATTTTATTCGTAAGTAGGCTTTATGGTAGTTTATTCGTAAGTACGGGCAGTGTTCATACCTCATATGTATGTCCGTAACTCGGGCACTGTCAGTAATTAATAAATTAATTCAGGGAGAACTATTACCTGTCACTATTAGATCTTAAAAAGACAGAAAGAAGCATTTCATTAATGTAAATCACCTTACCAGAAAATACAAGATTGGCAAGTTGTGTTTTTGGTCATATTTGCTCATTCAGTAAAACAGTTGTACTTTGACATGGTCTTTGCAAATCTTGGCATAAAAATGTCCTACAACTCCCAACATTCTCCAACCAACATGGCTAGTTGGTGCATACTGGGAGTTCCAGGATTTTCTCTTTTTTTCTATCTAAACATGCATAGGATTGTGTCCTTAGTTAAGTTCACTATAAGACCACAATCTGTGGGTCCACCGAGCAATTTAAATTGGTTGATATTGCTTTCCTTCCATCACAATCTCAGCAATCTACATTCATGTAAATAATTCTTTACACATTAACTGAAGACTCAGATATTATAAGTGACTCAATCACTTATTTAATTGTTGGACTACTTGGAGCCACAGATCATTTCCCATTGAGCATATTCACCCTATATTTAAACATCTTTCCTCCTGTTGACCAAAAGGTCTGTGTCCTGGTAGACGTATGCTCAAAACAGGGGAAGGTTTTCTTTTAAAGGATTTATTCTTAAGAAGAACCAGCTACCGATAAATCATTCCAGATGGTGCACCTCAGCAGTCCTCAGTTGGCCCTTTTATACATTGTTCATTAAAGGGTTTCACACAGCACAGTTAAAACTTTCCAATAGTTTACAGAAGTAAAAGGTTACATGATCTTTCTGGCCTGCATTGCAAAGAGAAAGAAGATTCTTCCGAGGAGGAGGAGGAGGAGGAGGAAGGGTGGTGTGAATTGTCCTTTGTTCCAGCAGCTATTATCTGTCAAGTGTCAGCTAGCTGTCTCTGGAATAGTGCCTGGCTTGTGTCAGCTACATTTAAAGGATGCACACAAACTGATGTCTAATGAAAAAGGATTCTTTTTCCGGTCCAGAAATGTTGATACAGTGGTACTTTGGCTCATGAACTTAATCCGTTCCATGACTCTGACCCAAATTGGTTGTGGCCCAAGTCAAATTTCCCCATAAGATTCAATGTAAATAAGGTTACTCCATCCTGTAACTATTTTTTTTAATCAGAAAAATTTGAAACAGTGACAAAGAACGACAAAGTAACAAAGTACTGTACAATACAGTGGAGAACACTAACTTAGGTAGGGGGAAGGTTATTGTTTAGAGGAAGAGTCCCCCTCCATAAGGATATTGGAGAGATCTCTTTCAGGGGTTTCCTCTCTTCTTTGTCTCTTAGCTGCAGGGTCAATTTTGATGAAAAATCTGTCTATAGTCACATGCTTTTTCCTGTGCTGCATAACCCTCTGGAAATGAGAGACCACATTATCGTTCATAAGATTCAACACTCTGTTTGTTACAGTTATGTTGGGGTGGTGCTTCTCAAAGAAATCCTGGCACTCATTCCATTTTTTTCATAATGGATTGTCTCACATCACTGCTAACCTCCTCCCTGTCTTCCTCTTCCTCCTCAGCAAGTCCTCCTCAGCAAGTGCCTTCTGCTGCTCACTCTGGAGTTCAGCAAGTTCTTCTGTCGTCAGCTCCTCTATGTCTTCCCTGCATGAATGCAACTGCAGTTGTGGCTATCTCCCCACTCGGTGGGGTGGGGAGATGGCCATGACCTTGGTTGCCACCCAATGCAGAGTTCGTGACCCAAGTCAAAATTTTTATGAAATTTTTGTTCGTGACCTGATTTGGTTGTGAACCAAGGCATTTGTGAGCCGAGGCACCACTGTATTCCCAAGATTCCCGTTATACCTATTGATTTGTACATGACCCCATAACAGCTAAGCTAGAGCTGGTGCTCAGTTGCACATGTGTTGAACATAAACTATGTAGTAACTTCAGGCTGTTATTTTAGCTAAGATTGACTTCAGAGAGCTTTAGTCCAAAGTACATTAGTCTGTCTTTCTGTGGTCCTTCAATCATAGAATAAGGGGGGCTGATTAACTCATCATGTCCAACTGTCTGTTCATTGCAGGAAACCTGTTTAAAGTCTCCCTGACTGGTGGTGCTCCAGTCTTTATCTGAATATCTCCAGCAAGTGAGATCCCATTATTTCCCTGTGCAGTTGATTCCATTGCCTGACTGCTCTGATCATTAGGAAGTGTGAACCAATATTTGCCTTCCTGAAATTTAAGCCTGTTATTTTATGTCCTCCAGATGATGGTAAACAGGTTGTGGCTAGCCCTTTCTTGTGAGACTGCCCTTTGCATACTTGAAAAATGCTAACATATCCCCCCTAAAGTCTTTCTTCCTTGAGACTAAAAATACCCAGATGCTTCATTCTTTCATTTTAGGACTCTATTTCTAGTTCCTTACTCATCCTTGTTCCCCTTATCTTAAATTGTTTCATTATATCCAAGTCCTTCATAAGGATTTTGTTCAATACCTTTCCCATTCTTCTTTCAGAGCATCCAACATTGCCTTTCATTTCATTTCTCTACAACCCAAATACTTGCCCTCAGATAGCTGGATTCTGCTCTTAAATACCAAATTAATGATACCATACTGGACTGACTGATTCTAGATTGATAATAAGAGCTCACTCATCCATACCTGGCATATCTAAGTGACAGCAGGCAAACAGGATGTGGTCTCTCTCAATTGTGCGTGCCAGGGCACATGGCTCATCTATAGGGCAGACACTCACTCGAGGGTCAGGCCGCCTTACTGGCACAGAGGGCCATCAGCCAGCTTTGCTGGTGGCCCAGCTACACCAGCTAATTCCTGAGCTGGGAACAACCTCTCCTTACTAACAAACTGCCATAACGCCTATTAATTTTAAAAAAATACTGCAGAAAGTCATCGTCATAGAGAGAGAGGAAGAGAAAGGGGAGAGAGGGACGGCCTCCAAAGCATGCCTTCCTGCCCTGCCTATCTGGAGAGGGAAATCTCTCCATCATTTCCTTGCTGCAGAAGAGGCACTGGTAAGTTTGGGCAGTGAGGGGGCCTAGAGATATTTGTGGTTTTTCTGCTTTCATTAGGGTCCTGTGCTCCCAACCCCTGCAAATATGGAGGGCCGCCATATACACAATTCAACTTAAAGATGAATTTCCATTTTCTCAGGAGCAGATCTTGTTCGTAACCCCAGGACTGCCTGTATTTCTGTTCTTTGATCTGTGATACAGAAGCTTTTTTAAGCATAGTGTATCTGCTTTCCTTTTACATAAGTGCCTTGTTATATCCTGAAACCAAATTATTGAAATAAAATAATGCTGGTAAAAATTTTATACTCCTGTTTGAGGAAAGTATTGGTTTATATAAGTCTGGATTACTTAAATGTTCACCTTTTTGGATATTAACATAATTCTAAATGTTTTCCTTACTCCTAGAATAGAAACAAATCCAGGATTTAGTTAAATAAGAAAGTAAGCCAGGATTCAAAAGCTTTAAAGAAGCAGCCGGAGAAAGCCATCAGTACCTGGTGAGTTATAATTTTTTTATTTCCCTAATTACCTTCAGAGGTTCAGTATGTTATGCTTACAATTTTCCTGTACAGGCTTTATTGAAATTTCTTTCAGTATGCTCCATTTTGTGATTAATGAAGATACACATTTCATTATAATATATTGTTGTTTTTCATTGAACAAATCTGATTAATAATTCTATTTTTTCTGATAAGTTCAGCCAGCAATTTAGAACTCCTACTGCCAGAGGTGTGGGTTATTTAAACTCTAGAAAGTGAACAAACTCAATCCTGGTTGTTTGAATTTATTGAATAAAAATGAACCACAGTTCATATTGTTTGCCTATCACAAGAAATGGTTTGTTTAAAATTGCATGTATTCATATCACATATTCCACCATTCCTCTTCTCACAAGAAACCCAAGATGGTTTATAAGGTTCTCCTCTGTTCCATTTTGTCCTCACAACAACACTCCTGTGAGGCATGTTCAGCTGAGAGTCCTTGGCTGGCCCAAACTCACCCAGTGAGGTCAGGCTGGTGGGAACTAGAACCCAGATCTCCTGAGACCTGGTCCTGCTCTCTCCACCACTACTCCGAACTGGCTGCAAACACTTCCTTGTGGCTATGAAGGAGGGAAAGCAGTGAGGCTTGAACCTCACTGTGACTTGCTTTTGTGTTTTGTAGGAGCAGTGCTCTTAGATGGCACAACTAAGACAGTTCCTATAAAGCTCAAAAGAAAAGCTGCAATGGATGAGAAGCTCACTACTGTAGGTGTCACCAGCCCCTCTGGACAGCGGCCATATGCCCTACCCACACAAATAGGAACAGGGTTCTGCTTTTAAGCTGAAAGAGCTTTACTGGTTAAATTAGCTGAAATGCCTACGTCTGGTAACCAAACTAGCTGCCCAGTGACAGGGAGGTAAGACGAGGGAGCATTCTGCTCCCCACACCTGAAGGCTACATTTGATGCTAATATCAGCCCTCTTCTATTCCACGGGAACGCATAACGTTTTTATTTATTTATTTATATCCTGCCTTTTTCCTACAAAGGGCTCAAGGCAGCTTACATCATTCTCCTCCTCCATCTTATCCCCACAACAACAACCCTGTGAGGTAGGTTGGGCTGAGAGTCAGTGGCTGGCCCAAAGTCACCCAGTTGGCTCCATGGCTGAGCGGGGACTAGAACCCAGATCGTCTGAGCCCCAGTCCCATGCTCTTAACCACTACAACCACACATTTTTTATTTTATTTATTTTATTTAGCAAATTTCTATGCCTCCCCATTTGCCGAAGCCTTGGGGCGGCTCACAATATAAGTGGCTCTGGCCAAAGAATAAAAAATAAATAGTATTAACAGTTAAAATGATGTTTGAATAAAAAGGTCTTTGCCTGGCGCTGAAAAACAAATAATGATGGCACCAGGCGGACCTTTCTGGGGCGCACATTCCATAGATTGGGCGCCACCACAGAGAAAGCCCTCCTCCGAGTACTTACCCTCCTAACTTCCTTCACGGAGGGTTCCCGGAGAAGGGCCTCTCCCGCAGATCTCAGGGGGCAGGCGGGCATATATGGACGTAAGCGCTCCTCCAGGTAACCAGGACCCAAGCCGTTTAGGGCTTTATAGGTCATCACCAACACCTTGAATTGAACCCAGACTTCAATGGGAAGCCAGTGAAGCTGACGGAGGACTGGAGCCATGCAAACATAACGCCCAGTCCCCGTCAGCAGCCTGGCAGCTCTATTTTGAACCAATTGAAGGATCCGGACCGTCTTCATGGCTGCTGTTGTCACAGCTAGCCTAGCCAAAAGAAAGATGGCTTTCCTAAGACCACCAGGGAAGTTCATGGCTGAGCTGAGATCTGATTCACAGGCTTTCTATGCCACATTTTCTAAAAAAGTCAATCAGAGAAGTCCAAACTTCCTTTTCCTGCCCCATGCATTTTGCACCGGAATTTCTGATTTTTGTTTTGTGCCACCAGTCAACTCCTGGCAATGGCAGAATAGCCACTGATCTCACAAGATGCTTGGCTCCAAGCAGACAGCCAATGCATCTCTTCCACTCAGCTTGCAGAGAGCCATTTGATGTGTTTGGGGGAGGAGTACGGATTTGCAATTGCCAATAGTGTATAATTAATCTGAATTTAATTAGTAGCCTAATAAAGCTAAGACCACTATTCTTCCTGACTTGTTTATGCATACGCAGGAGAAAATGTGGCAAACCACTCTCAAAACTGGCCCTGGATGGCCTGTAAGGGAAATGCTTACCATGTACATCGGTCGGCTGCACTGCTGGATGCAATCTGTGTACAGCACCATAATGGCACGTCGGAAAATCCCCAGGTCTGACAGACATAAGAGCACAAGAAGTTCAGGCATGGCAATTTGGTGACAGGAAAGCCGGCAGAATTGCACTAATGACATAACAGGGAAGCCCCAGTGTTGTGAGGGCTGCAAAGGCATACAACGCAATCCTTGCTGGCAAATATATTCTGATGTAGTGAGAATGTGCATGTGCTTAACTTAGAAACACAGAAACAGAGTGAGTCACAAGGGACCTCCTGGGCCATCTAGTGTGACCCCCGGCTGCAGCTGGCTCCATGACGTGCCTACCTTAACTTGTTCTCAACTGGACTGTATTCTTTGAGCTGTCCTGGTGTCCAGGTGGCTGCTATTAGATCCTAACTCATCTCTTGAGCCTACGTGTAAAGTGTGGCACTAACAGAGATGTGAAGGCTTGGGGGAAATATCTGGGAAATAACTCCCCACCCTCACCACCCCTACAAATTAAGGGAAACCCATTTTCTGCAGGAAGATCCAAAACTCCCTGGGGGAAAATGTTTGTTTTCTTTGAACTGGTCTGGTCTCCCACCCCTACTCAATTTTTTTGTCCCTTTACCCAAGCACCAACCCTTCACATTTCTAGGCACATCAGCTGAGGATAATGTGCTAACTTTGACCCTTCTAGGGCAGAAAAATAACCTGGAAACTGTTACCCACACTATAGTGATATTCAAATTAATCTATTACAATATAATGTATGTGGACTGAGAAACTACAGCTGCTAGAACGCTAACCAAGGCCGAAAGGATGGTAATATCTCACTCGTTTTAAAGCAACTTCACTAGCTCCCAGTCCATTTTTGAATACATTGCTAAGAACATGTTTTAAAGTGCTGCACAACTCGGGATGCTTCAGGTATATATGAATCTGCCTGCTCCTCCCCTCATCTCTGATGCTTCCACCCTCAGGGATTAGTAGACAGAGGCTTGGAAAGGGGGTTTGCAACTGTACTGCCTCAACTGTGCCAGAAAAGCTTGCCTACAGCTATTTTTAATGGGCAGCAAATCCCAGGTTTGGTTTGGCAACAATCCATTGTTTTAGATCTGCCTTATGCCTGTTCTGCCATTGTTATTGCTTAGCAGAGTGCATTTTGAAATGATTACTCCTTATTTTAGTTTATATTAGTCCTGTTTATATTAGTTTTTTCTGTTCTACATTTTCTTCTATGTATCCATATATGTTAAGAAAATTTTTAAAAAGAAAATTATTTTCTTTTAAAAATGATAATTTTTATCGTTGTTCTGGATCAGTCTTGGAAGTTCTGAAATTGAAAGGCGCATAGACATGTTCTATAGAGACATGTCACATTGCAAGCAACTGCTTGTAATGCTGATAACTGTGCATTTACACATGTCCACCTCCAGCACCCCTGAGAAATCTCCATGGGGATATCATGGCACCCAGCCAGGTCTGACTCCAGCTCTCTGCTTTACTTTGTCTGATCTGCAGAAGGGTAGTGTCGGTGTATCCATTACTATTCCAAGTTACTGGCTTTTCCATAAAGGACTAGAAGAACCTTTCTATTCTGGCTGTTAAGGCCCTTGCTTGCTCAGTGCAAATAGGAAAGGTTTAACACGAAGTGCTGTTACCTGGATCAGGGACATCTGAGGCCAAATGAAGCAGAAGAGAAAGGGAAAAAGATGCCAGTGAGAGGAGCATAATGGCACAGCAGTAGGATCTGTGTGAGCTGCAGACGGGAGGTTCCAAAAGGCATATCAAAGCAGAATGACAGGCGCACAAGCACACAAATCAGCCCCTCCTACCTTTCTTAGCAAAGTGCCACCTGCCTTGATGTGCAGAGCCAAAGTCTGTATCAACTTCTATGCGTAGCCAACAAGAAACTTGCTGGTACTGAAGCTCAGTGCGCCAATAAACAGAAATGTCACCATCAGTTCACAGTTCTCATGTCATTTGTTTATTTATGCAGCTTCTCTGCTTGACATGCCAGGCTCTCCACACAATGGAGTACTTTGCAGTAGTAAAGCAGTATAAAATAAATAACTTCAAAGCATCACGAAAAAGCAATAGAGCAGTGCCACAACTGACTACAAGTCAGGGGAAGCCAGAGCAAGCACATTTTCAACATTCTCAGACCGCACATGTGAGAGTGTTTCAGAATGTGGGTGCTACTACCAAGAAGATTTGCTTACATGCCGCTGCCTAATGTTGGCCAAGGGATGACTAATAAGGTCACTTTGGAAAAAGTTTTATCAGTGATATCCCAGTACCGAGTTATTTAGGCATTGAGTGTCAGCAACTAATACCAGAGTGGGAGGAGACCATGCCACAATCCTATGGACTAGGACTAAGGTTCTATTGATTTCCATCCAAATAAATTTATTCATTTATTTATTAAAACATTTCTATGCCGCCCCTTGCCAAGGCCTCGGGGCGGCTTACAACATTGAATACAAAATACATTAAAACAATGACAATTAAAATATATACAGTAAAATAAAATAAGCCGCCCTGGCCGAATAAAATTCAATAATATTAACATTTAAAATGCTGCATAAATAAAAAGGTCTTCGCCTGGCGCCGAAAAACAAATAACGATGGCGCCAGGCGGACCTTTCTGGGGAGCGCATTCCATAACTTAGGCGCCACCGCTGAGAAAGCCCTCCTCCGAGTAGCCACCCTCCTAATTTCCTTCACTGAGGGCTCCCGGAGGAGGGCCTCTCCTGCTGATCTCAAGGGGCGGCTGGGCATATATGGACGTAAGCGCCCCTTCAGGTATGTGATGAGGAGGATTGAAATGCCTGTTTGCTATCATCACTTACCTATCTTGAAACGACCCATGTAGTAGATCTGCGTACTGAGGCCAAGTGAGGCCACAATATGGATGACTGAAAAGAAGATCCAAAACCACAAAGCATTTTTTCCAAAAACCTGGGAGCAAATGAAGAATGCATATTATCAATTCGATCGATCACCAGATACTTCTTTGTAGTTATAAAAATGGTCCTTCTCCTTAATGATGCCCCATGGTCAACTTTTCCAGGCCTATGTATATTTTGTCCAGAAGAGACAGGCGCTGTTATAACTCACAGTATGGAAACTATCATAGAAAAGAAGATCTCATCTTTTGCAGGAACTGACTAGGACATTGTGCAGTATTCAACATTTGCCTTCTTTTTTGACAGTCGCACAATTGTAGAAGAAATGTTTGCTGAAGTTAACACAAGTTCCTGAAGTCCATAGAGCTCTTCTACTAGAAGGAGCTAAAAATTAACCTAAACCCCGGTAAGACACATTCTTACAATGAACAGTATTACCTCCTGTCACTCTCTGGGAAAAATGTAGGTACACCACTTTGGCCCTCTGCTTGTCCTACTTTTGGGCTTAACAAATGAACTGACTTGTGACTAAGTCAAACCAGCAGTCCCCCATGGCAGGTCTTGTGGGCTGCTTCTGGCTGGAAAGGATCTTACAGCCTTTGGCTGACGTTGTGGGGCAAGTGGAAAAGGCTGATCCCACATTCTGTTTGCTGCTGCCCTGCTGAAGATATGCATGGGCTGCCCTAGAGCAGACTCCGATGTTGATCGAGATGTCACCTCTTCAGCTAAATGTCTAGGACATGGTAGGAAGGGTTAAGGTAGCAGATGGAAATGAAAGGTAACAGGAACAAGAAACAAACAAACAAAAGAAATAGAGTAAAGGAACTGTGCTTTAGGGGCAGCGATTCAGCCTGAACTGAACTCAGCAGCTGAACTCCTTCAGTAGGTGACCTCTGCTCTGCCTGTGAGTTCTAGCAGGAGGCATCACCTCAAGCTGAAAATGACTACCAAGAGCTGCTTGAGAAAATGACATATTCTGCCCCTCCGCCCACCTCCAGTTGTTTCCCTGTGTTTAATTCAAACTCTAACCCACTTGGATTTGCAATCTGATGGGTCATACTCATGCTATAAAAAGTGTCACACATGCAGAATCTTCATCTACCCTGGCTCCTCACCAATGCAGACTGAGTGAAGCTGGTAGTACACCTGGCTGCCACTTTCGGGTGCCAGCTGAGTCCATGGAGTCCAACCACACGTGGAAGTGCAGGCCAAGTAAAACCAGCTCTGTGGCCATCATGCTGGCCAGCCCCTTGATAACATACCAGCCTGTGTGGGTGGAGATGTTACTCTGGTTCTTGGATCCCCCCTAAACCAGTGGTGCTACATACACACACGCGCGCGCGCAGAGAGATAAGTGCTTGTTTGTGAATGCTAGGATGGGATGAAGGCAGCTGCTGTAAGTCAGAATCCATGACAGGTCAATGGTAAATTTTGCACTTGATTTTGCAGATGTTATAAACTATTTCCCTTGACACCATTCTCAGTGCTTTCTCCCAATCTTACTCAATCAGTCCCTCTGTGAATGTCAGAATGCGGAAGACACAGCCATACCACTCCAAGGACAGCGAGGCAAATGACCACTGCAAAAGATGCGTAGGCAGAGTAGGCACTAGCGTTGATGTCAGGATGGCGAGTCTGGTACAACTTTAGCATGCACAGCCCTGCAATCATGTACATGAAGGACGTGTCTGTCAAGGGAGGAGAAAAGATAACAGTGGCATTACTGACAAAGGTTCTTTTCGGCAGAGAAAACCTCTCTTCAGGCCAGAGGACACGAGCATACAAGCATCATACGGGGGTTGTCATTCCTGTGGACTAAGACTTCTGCAATGGGGGCAGAAAAGTGGAAAGAGAACAAAAACCTTTGCAGTGGCCGGGGAGGTAGCATGCTCATGCCTGGGCTAGTTGAATGAGGAAAATTTGGTCTAGGTTTCCTCCTGCTTTTACAGCTGTTTTTGTTCCTCCATTTGGCTTGGACAGGAGTTCTTCATCTGCTGCAATTATACTCTGCTGAGAAAGGGAGGAGGTGTGCGGGCTGTGCTCACTGCCACTGTGAAGGAAGAGCTTACTGCAGATGGACGTGTCACATACCAGCAGATACTGCCACACACTGAAGTTGTCCGGGCACCGACTCTGGACATCCCTCACGCTTGGGGCAAAGCCCGATTTCAGAGTAGTTTCCACATGCTGTGAAACTTGTGGCATCATAGCTTTGGAAACTGAGTCTGTAATCCACTGGTTAGACACCACAATGTGGCAACACATATCAGTAGAAAGGAAAATAGAAAAAAGGCTAGCCCACTACCAACTTGCCAAGTACCTGCCACTCAACTCTGCCTTTGGAGTAGTGTGTGGGTGAAATGTTCAGAGAGATGGTGCATGTTCTGAAGGAGCTCTAACCCCCTGAAATCGTAAATGTGGAGGGCAAGAAGAAGAACATGTGGGGCTTCCATGAGATGGGTTCCTGGCTCTGGATTCCTTGCAAGTGCCAATTTTAGTCCCACCAGGGTGTGGTGAGGAATTCTACAAATGTATGTGCTTTTGCAGCATGGTTCTGCTAGTGCTTAAGGATTAAGCATGTAGGGATTTTATGGTGGGGGTTCTGGGAGAAGACATGATACAGCTGGAATTGTAGACAATTCAGACAAAGTAGGCAGTAGCAGGTTTTTCACCAGTAACCTCCCCACTTGCCACCAGTAAAGGCCTCCCCATGCATACTTGGTCCGAGTGACCAAGCCACTTCATGTTGGCCCGGGCTCATGGCATCCTACAGAAAAACTTCAACTACTACAATAGCCATACTAGGCTACTCATAGAGCATGTATCTGAACAATTTCTAGTAGCACTTCACCAAATGCTTCTGGATGTGGAGGAATACCTTGTTCCAGATGTGATTGTGGCTTGTTGCAGCTTAGACAACATCCCTAAATCAGGCAAGCAAACTTCAGTGACTTCTTAGTGCATCTGGACCCATATGACTAACAATGCTGACAGTTGCAGAAGTGCCTTTCCCATCGGCCCCTGTGGTATCTGCTGCAGTAATGCAGAATAACCACCCCTTTCCCCACCCACATAAGCATCCTTCCCCTGCCAACCTCAGCATTGCCCCATTTAAGTCCCCTGTAGCCTCCCAGAATCTTGTTTTCAAACCAGTCGCTGATTTCCTTGCATTTCCCATTTTGACAAAGCAATGCGCCCCACCAACACCCCTCGCACAAGTTATACCCAATAGTGCCTTCTGAAGGGAAAATAGGTTTTCAGCCATTCTCACTCAATAAGTATCTTATTTGGAGTAAAAACACACTGCAGCCCTCTGCAGAGGATAGTCTGGTTCTAAGGGAAGCATACCAGGGTGGAAGTGGGGGAAGATACACAAAAACACATGAGATGTCGGACTGTAGGACGGAAGTGTGTAAGACAGGGTGAGTGAAGGCGTGGCAGCATGAGGGCAGTGGGGCTTCTCCATCCGAAACAACAAAGGGAAGAGGGAGGATGAGCAAAAGCCTCTTTGCTGACAGGACAGAGAGGTGGCAGCCACTGCAACACAAGCTGCTCTCGTTGGAGAGCGGTATGTGTTGGGGGGTGAGGGCGGTGATATGGCGTGAGACCTGCTCAGAGAAGGAAGAGGGACACTTGGTGAACCTGGGCAGGCAAAGAGGACAATGCTCTGATAAGAAATCCTGCATTTAAATCCTGTGTGTAAAGTTTAAGGGTTTTATTGTAAAATACATGTATAGGAAGGAATGGCGTGGGCAGATGAGGAATCTTTCCGATAAGAGCTGTTAAAGCACGACCTGTGCATGTAGCAGACCATTTGCAAAGAGCCTGCTGAAGTAGCAAGGGTGCAAAGGATCATGGGAGATGAAGTCACATGGGATGTGTGCTGGAGCCGGCAAGGGGACTGAGAGAGAAGGAGGGAAGCATAGCTCATGTTGAAACCAATCCTGTGGAGCTCACTGTGGGATTGTCTGTGAGCAGCCCACACTGTGTGGCTTATTTGCAGTTTAGTGTGTCATGTGAACCCCATCCCCCAATGGGATTTAATGCAGAAATATTCAGAGGCCTGTGATGATGGTTGCTTTGATCAATTCTGCTATGAAAATGCACCTGTAGAGCATTTAGTCTCTCAAAGACAATCTGGAATGAACTAAACTGCACTCAGTTTGAGGCCACTGAGGCTGATGTCACCAGTTATCACACAGATGCCAATCCACTATCAAACTATCGTAATTTATTTTATATTGTTAATTTGTTTTATGTATTATATTTTATGTTGTGAGCCACCCCGAGGTTTCGGCGAATGGGGCGGCATAGACATTTTTAAATAAATAATAAATAATTTTCTACTGTATCAAGTGATGGTGAAGGTTCATTGGTGGAGCACCAGCATCCCAGAGCAAGGACATGAAGGTATTCTTCACCAACCTTTCTAGGTTCCTAATGAAGGGAGGGTGAGAAAGAACTGAACTTCCAGAGGCAATTGTGAAGAGATGACTCCCCACTTCATCTCAAATTTGCTGGTACTTTAGCATCTGACCAGTAAAAGTGGCATTTCAGAAGGAACAGGATCATCAGACGCTTTAAGGAACTATGAACCTGGAACTTCAATCACAGGTCTGTAGGTCAGCTGCTGGAAGAAGCTAGATGGAGATCTTCTGCTTTTTATATCTTTTGCACAGAATTATGTTTGATGTGGATATTCTTTAAAGTGAACTGCAGAGAAGAGCAGACAGCCTCTGTAACAATCATCAGAGCTACCTCTAATTTTGTAAGAAGCAGCAATACAATGGTTTTGACTATTAAGAGCTTCTTTTCTGAGTTACCTCAGCCATCTTATCTGGCCAGAGGCAATTCCTCAAAATTCTGGATTGACTTATGGGGAGGGGGAGTGGGAGGGGGAAAGGACCTGCTCACACACAAATGAACAAACAAATGCAATTCAAAGCAACAAAGCCCCATGAGGTCTCTTAGTGGGAAACTTCCCCTTCTGCTCTGGCAGCGTGAGCTAACAGGCCTCTGGAAGTGGTAGATCATGAATTTAGGACTGCTGTGTACGATCCCAGAAAGACGGTTAGTTGTTATGTCTGCTTTATGTGTTCTGAGAAATATAAAGAGCAGACAGGACAGGACAGGACAGGAGACCTTCCTCCTCAGAATGTTCTTTCACAACATGGGAAAATTGTTTCAAAATGATATGCCAGTTCTATCATAGCCCAGATATACTTAAAGTAACTAGGAACTATGAATGTGCATGGGACAGTAAGTGGATGGGCGCTGTTCGCTGTTGATTGTCCCGTGCTGCAGGAAAGGAAAATTGGAAATATATATTAAGTTAGTGCCATTAAATAAAATATATACATTTAAGAAAGGAATCACTGAGATATTATTGAGTAAACAAGCTAACAACTACTACAGATAATTTAAAGACTTTTGGCCAAAATCTGTAGCACAGTGCTGAATTCACATCTGTAAATCATATTGAAATGATGCAGAAAATAAAAGGATAGTAGAGTCAGCATGGACGAATAAGCATGTACAACTCTGCATGAACTTAGGGCCCAGTGATAGTAGAATGTGTTGAAAGAGTATAGAATGATGGAGCATATACAGAAAAAGTAATTCCCAGTGTTTCGTGGGCCAAAAGTCCACATTAGCAGATTTTATTTGTACTAACAAGTGGGGTTGTAAGACTCAGCAAACTATCCAACCTGTGGCTATGTGGTCTTTATTTTAAATAGAAGAAATATTCCTAATATTTCCTAATACACTGCAGATGGATAAGATGAAAACATAGATTTAAAACCCAACCTCAGAACAAAAGGGGACCAAGTAGCATATTTGCAGCACCAGTTCTGAAATAAGCATTTTCCCTAAGCTCTTACAGTTTTAAACTTATATTATTGTACTATCCGAATGTTAAAAGTTTATTTCAACTGGTTGCCTCAGGATCTCTAATACTTTGAGGTAACATTGAAGCCATTCTCAATGTCCCTGCTCCCCCTTTGGCTTGCTTTGTTCCTTAAATGGAGAAAGCCCTTTGCTTACCAAACTGGAAATTAGAGTAGTTGGGGCAGACATGATAACAAGCACTGAGGACACCTTCCATCATCAAAGCAATGCCCATGGCATAGAAGAGACCAAAGTGCTTAGGGATCCCATATTCCTGAAAGTGAAAGCAAAAGAAGGGAGGACAAAGTACAGTAACATTATTCATTATGCCTGTATGCAATTATTAGTGTATGCATATACTTGGAAAGGGGCTGTTATCACAGGAGGCCACCAGACTCTTGCACACAAATACCTACCTGTTTAATGAGAACAAAGAGCAATAAACATTGGACTGGACATAACAATTCTGGCTGCAACTTGAGCATAAAAATATACAGCTCTTTTAAAATAACATTTATGAGGAGGACTACACTCTACCAGATGCAACCCAATTTATCTTGTAGTTTAAAACATTCAGCCAGATTCTTCATTGCTCATAATCTGCAGGGCAATCCATTGCCAAGTGTGAACAGCTGCATGAGGAGATGGCATCAAGCCAGAAATTTAACTTTGCCTAGACTTTCTTGGCACCAGTTCAGAGTTCAAGGTCCTTGGAGCAGAGGTAAAGCCAACATAATTTTTCCAGGTTGAAATAAATGGAGCCCCTGTATCCTTAGAAATGGCCATTTAGGTAAGCATATTTATAATTTTGAGGGGATCAGCATGGAACTTTCCCACAAAGCATATTATACAGAATGTAACACACCGAGCCTGTAATGGTCAAGGATTCTGAGGCATTTTCAAAGGAATGGAGAAGATGTCTTTAAGTTTGTGTAGCTCTCTTTAGCTCACTCATATTATGCACATATATAATGCCAGAATAATTTACTCCCTATCTGCAAGGTTTTCTGAAACCTTGTTTTGCTAGTTCTGTGTTGGTGAAAACACACCAGTTTACAAAGTAACTGAGAGATGGCTTGAAATTCCCTGGAAGTTCAAGCTCCAGAAAAGCTTATTCCCTGAACAAAGAGCAGCCCACAGCAGCATATGGCATAAGCAAGCATGGCAACCATCTTCTACAGGGAACACAATGCAGAGACCCCATGGCAGAGAAAAAATCTAGTTTGGGGGGAGTGATTTTGAGCAGGTAGTTGGGAGAGGAGAGTTAATCCATATCACACGAATGCACACACTCAAAACCTCAAAGCCATCCACAGTTACTTTGCATTTTTAGAAAATGCTGAATTTAAAAAATCAGGGCATTTAGTCTGATTCAAAGGCACATCTTAGTCAAGGAAGGATGACATGCTTCTCTTCCAGCACCATGTCCTGTTTTTGTCTGTACATTACATTAAGAAGTCGACTTGAACAAGTTGGCCCCTCCTGCCTGCAGCCCATGACTCAAAGGCCTTGCCTATTAATAGGACACACCAGACTGTGTACCGTTACGTAGATGTCTTTGGTTTCCAAGGAGCGTCTGTGGAGAATGTCTCGACGCAATACAATCAGCAGGAACAGGAAGCCCAGCAGCAAATGGCCCACGTTGCTGAGGATATTGTTAAAAGCACTGCAAAGAAGAAAACCCACCTTAGCGGGAGGGGAGGAGGGGACTGCACAACATTTTCCAGTGTCTCAAGTGAATTTAGGCATGTAAAACCATTCTAAGTGGTGATCTTTAAAACTCTTTCAGTGCATTTATAACATTGTTGTTGCAGTGAAACCTCATGGCTGTTGGGGGTTGTGATGCCAACAATTTCACAAGATGGCAAAGTGGCTCTCCATCATTTAAAATGTTTAAATGAACTTAGCCACTGCTCTGTGCATTGGCTTTTTGCAAATGGGGCTCAAAAGCCTCCGGAATGGTGCCATGTCATCACCTTGCATTGGTCCCACTTGTGTTGGTCCCACAGGCATCCTAGTCTCATTTGCAAAGCGCCAGCAGCCAGGCTGCTGCTAGAAGCAGCAGCTCAGTTTTTTTTAGTCCCAGCCCTCTGATCGTGGACTCTTCCAAGTATCCTGTTCTCCATCAGGCTGCTGCCAGGAAGGCAGGAGGAGCAATAGGGATGATTGTGACCTCTCTCCCCTCCTTTGCACATTTTTCCTCTAGACATCCTTTGAATCCTAGAAGAGCTCCTAGGTCAGAATCCTACATTGCTCCTGGGACCTTAGAGAGACTTCAGGACAGAATGGATCCCAGCCTCTCCTCATCATTTACAGAAAGAAAAAATCTAGATTAAACTCCATTTTTATAAGTTCAGTGCATGATTATTGGGTGTTTGTTTTAGGCTGGATTATTTTGTTAAATATTATTGGTCGATGACCATAATAAAATCATTCATTCAAAGGGAGATATCTGTACAAAAATCAAGGGGACATGCCTTTACGCATGATTCCCTTCATTCACCATGGAGGTGATGGCCTCTCATCTTACTCGCCCAAGAAGATAGCCTTGCATGGAAAGAATAATAAATGTAAAGCACAAACAACGTACTGGGAATAATCACACACCTTAGGACCCCCAGTGGATGAGCACAAAGGAAGTTATAATAGCAGATGTCCTGATTCCCAGTCACATTCACCACCTGGAAAGTGAGGAAAGACAGCATAAGGTTCACTTGCATCTTGTACACAATATTCAGGCTATAATGGTCAAAGCAAAATGTACATGAAACTTCATGAACAATCCAATTGCATTCCATTGCTTTGGAATTCAGCTACACAGTGCAGGTGGTGGGGGAGGGGGGTGCCTGAGTGTGCATGCAGTTTAAGTCTCCTTGGTCTGCTAGAATTATCCATTATAGAAGGAAAGCAGAAGGAAGAAATGTTAAGGGCTCCCCCAGAGGATGGAAGAATACTTATTCCTTCTTCAGCAATATGCCTGTTAACCACACACCAGTACTACTAGCACTGTTTTAAAAAAATGGAAGGTGCGGGAAAATACTCTAATCTGAGCCAGTATCCCAGGGAAGATTCAGGACTGGAGATGGGAAGAAAGCACAGCTGCCATGAAGTGGAAAAACCGAAGAGATGTTGTGGCAATAGGTCAGGTTCTGTTTCCAACACTGTTATAGTACTACAGGTGCATATTATTATCCTGAATCCTTCTTGTGTTTTAACTGATTTACTTTCCATTAGGCAGGTGAATGTGCAAATTCTTACACATGGTTGTTGCAGGAGAAAAACAGCAGCGAGATACTATTCTGCAACCTTGATCAGAAACATGGTGTGCATTTTAATACATATATAAATGCACAGTTAATTTAGTGCAATGGAGGGAAATCAATGTCTGTATTTTAGATGTGTATTTGAATTTGTGCCTGCAGCGATTAGAAGCAGTGTTATCAAACATACTCTGTAGAGTTCCTGTGGATATCTGAGACCACAGGCTGGAAAGCAGAACTCTCAAGAGAATATCACCATCCCCACATTAGTGACTGCCAGAGAGTACTTTGTTTTAACTGAAAAATGCCCTGAATGAAAACCATCTTGGCAGGTGGTGGTACGAGATTCTAGCTGGCTGAAGGCCCTCATACTCGAAGAGGAAGCTGCCTATGTGCCCCTGCAAGCCAAAGCCAGCTGCCTGGTCTGCAGGTCTCCATGCATGGAAGGTCTGCCACTCAGGGAATCAGACATTAATCTACAGTTTGGTTTGCCAGCTTCCGGTATTCAGCAAGTCCAGAGGCGGCAAATGCCTGTAGGAGCTAAACATAGCAAGGGCAGGGATGCTAACCATGAATTTGTGTTCAAATGCAGCTAATGCTTTTCTTACTCATGTGTTTCGGCAATGACCAATGACTGCTTCCTTTTGGAATAATTCCTTTATTCAATAATTCAGGTAAATTTTGTGATGGAAACTCCTTTAATATTTACAGGTTCCCCTTAACTATCTACCCATCTCTTGGAACTCATTGCAAGATCAACATAAATGGATTCTCCATGCCCTTTTGACAGCTAAAAGATTATTGTTACAACATTGGAAGGATAAATGGTCACCTGCAAAAACACAATGGGTGGATGATAACACTTTCCATTTTTGAATGGGTGTTTTTATGCCTAATTTGTGAAGTGACAAATACATGGCAGGGCTGCCTGTGCAGACGCCTGTGCATCATTCTCTTTAGCAAGAGTTGCATATCCTGTCGTATATACAATGCAGGGGTACCTGGTATATATGTATTAATTGTGATAGATTTACTTACATTTTACATAAGATTTTTTTTTTATTTTCACCAGTATGCTGCAGTGGTGAAAATATTTGACTGGGACTCAGGAGATCTGGGTTCTAGTCCAAACTCAGCCATGAAGCTCACTGGGTTACTGTGGGCCAGCCACACATTCTCAGCCCAACCTGCCTCACAGGGTGGTTGTTGTGAGGATAAGATGGGGAGGAGGAGAACCTTGTGAGATGCCTTTGGTTCCCCACAAGGGGAAGAAAGGCAGGGTATAGATGTAGAATCTTACTAATACTAATAATAATTTTTGCCCTGTGTCTTCATTGGTTTGGGGGCAAATAAAAAGACAGGTGCTGCATATTCCTAGACTCAAATGCCAATGACATTGCAGGCATTTCTGAAGCAGGACTGAGTACCCAACAGTTCTTTGCTGCCACTTATACATTTCTGTTTTTATTTAACGGCTAGATAAGGGCTTTCTTCAGCAGAACATAATCTATATATAAATAATAAAATGAGAATTAACAGAATTCAGTTCAAGAACATTTTGTAAACTGTTGGTGCAAGTAGTGGAACGCAGGAATGTTTTTTTGGTATGGATGGCTAACAGAAGATGAGTTGTGAAGGCAGTTCTCACCGTTTGGTACGTAATCACCAGCTGGACCACAGGGAGAGCATAGAAGACAGCAATCGTGATGATATTCCTACAGGATGGGGATACCATGAGAAGTTTATTCATAAGCAAATATCTGCATTTGAATCATGGCTATGAGGCCTCTCAGCATTTTCACTTAAGTTTTAACCAAGTTCCTGCAACCTCAGGGCTGTGACCCTGAAGGTGGAACCCCCACCCTGCCCCCTTGCAGCCAGCGTGGGAAGAATCACACCATCTTCCCCAGACAGCCTTCATTTGGCCTTGCAGGTGGAAGGGGGGCGAACGGGCAAGGAGACTAGGCCTGTGGGCTTACACTGATCCAGACTGGCACCCCAGCCTTCTACCTTCCCACTCCCCAGAACTAAATCCAGCTGCCTGAAAATGGCTACCCAGAGAAAATACCTGGCATGAAGGGTATTTCTAAGGCTGCTTCTGACCTTGGATCCGGTAATTCTGAGCACTGCCTAGCAACGGTGACACATGCTCCGATAATTTCCCCGTTGGATTATTGTAATGCACTCTACGTGGGACTGCCCTTGAAAATGGTCCAGATACTTCAATTGGTACAAAATAGAGCTGCCAGGTTGCTGACGGGGGCCGGCCGTTATTCTCATATAACGCCAGTCCTCTATCAACTGCACTGGCTCTCCATGAAGTCCGAGCCCAATTCAAAGTACTGGTATTAACCTATAAAGCCCTAAACAGCTTGGGACCAGGACACCTGAAGGAACATCTCCTTCCCTACATGCTCTCATGCCCTTTAAGATCATCAGGAGAGGCCTTGCTCTGGGAACCCTCTTTGAAGGAGGTACGGAGGATATCAACCCGGAGGAGGGCCTGCAGTGGCGCCCAGACTATGGAATGTGCTCCTCAGAGAGGTCTGCCTGGCACTGACCTTATACTCTTTCCAGGGCCAGGTACAGACCTTTTTATTCCGCCATCACTTTAATAATTAAGGATTTTAGCTGCTTTAAGATCTGTTCACAGTCGCACTTTCTTTTCTTTCTCGTCCTTTCTCTTTTTCTTTAGTTTTATGAAAGTGTTTGTTGTGTATGTGTTTATTATTTATTGTTTTAATTACTATATTATTGTATTATTATAGTATTAGTTTATCATTGCAAGTCGTCCTGAGCTGTTATTGGAAAGGACAGGATAGAAATGTTTTCAATCAAAGAATCCTTTGGCCTCCTAGATGCTCTCTATTAGACTACAGAATTAGCCATGGCATTATCAGCCCATGCCAACTATACTACTAATAGTATGCAACTACAAAGATACCTATGATGTTCAATGGTGTATTGTTGGCTTGGATTCAGGGCAACTCACCCAAGCCGCCTTTTCTGTACAGAGATAATAAACATTCATTGGACAGCTTCTTATTGACAAAGAAAGGGGTACGAAGTTGCATGAAGTAATTTAAACTTCCTACTGTTTTGTTCCTACACTACCTTGCTAAGCGGAAATGGTATGTATAGATTCCCCTCAGGTGAAACAGAAAACGGTACAAGTGATTCATATCAGTTCCATGCATGGATGTTGATGTCATCCAGGCCCAGTCTCATGTTCTGGAGTTCAGATGGCCAGGTCCCCCTTCCCTTTCCCTAGCACAGCCCTTTCTTCCAGCCATTGGTCATTCATTCATTCAATTTGTATGCCATCCATTACTTGTGTCTCTGGAAGGCTTACAACATACAAGAAAATAAAATAGATAAATTGACAATCCACTCTGGCTGAAAATTAATAAAATACAAACAATAAAATCCAGATCCCTTAAAACATATTAAAATATTGGTTAAATAAAAAGGTCTTGACCTGGCGCCGAAAAACATATAATGACGGCACCAGGCGGAGGTTTCTGAACTTGTGCGCAGTGTTCACCTTTCTCAAAAGTTGAATGCTCCTCCTAAGACTTTCATCTAAACTATGCTGGGCTTTTTGTCTTTGCCTTTGGTTTGGCACACCACTCAGTGCCATCCCCAAGATCCTCCAAAACAGAAGCTGGTCCTTGGGCTGACAGCTGTAACCCGTGTCCACTTGCAACCTCTGCTATTGATATTGGCATTGCTACAATTTTGGTTGTGAGAGCTACCACTGGCAGCAACTACACAACCCTTTTAACTTCAGGCTAAGGAACTCTCCTCTTCAAGCCATACCATTTGGGAACTGCAAAGCCCACCCTAGAAATTTCCTGCTTACCCAATCTTCCAGCATCAAGGCTATTCCGTCACCATTTCGGTTACACAGTGAAACTAGCTGCTGGGGCTGCCACCATTGTAGTGCTTATTATACCAAGAAAAGGTAATCTGGAAGGACTTTAAGGGGGCACTGCAAAAGGCTGATCTGAGGGTGCTTGTCAGCTACTTACCAAAAATAGATTTTATACTTTTTGCTGACAATTCTCCGGTCCTTCCTGGACAAATCAGACAGATAGAGGAACATCTAGAAAAGTAGAGAAAGAGCACTTACTCTGCTGTGATGCTTTAAAGGACTCTAAACTAGCAAGGGTTCAATACAGTTTGAGCTGAGAAGATGCTTGCACCGGGTAAGGCATGGAAAATGACTTCCTAGGTACCTTACATGGACATTCTGTACCTTGGCCATACAGTCCAAACTTGCATACTTAGCTCATTCACATTTTGGTTATAGAATGCTGCTTTTGGAGCGAGTTTTACTGATTTTTAAAAAATAATTAAAAGAAAAAGATACCAAGGGATATAATACAATCACGTGTAATATTAAATGTGGGCAATTTCACAAAAAGGCAGTAACTATTATTACTTCAACCAAATTTATGGATATAATTTTGACTTATTAATTTTGACACTTAATTTGATTAACACTTAATTAAAATTAACAAATAAATTTAAATGGTTAACATGGATCTCAAGTAAATGATAATTCACCTTATAGCATATCTACAAATCCACCAACAAAATGATAATTGATTTTTTGCTTTTTGCTTTTTCCCCAAATGAAACAATATCAAAATAAGAAAGTTAGTTTCACAGAACAAATATAATAATTTGGTCACTGTAGTGTTGTTGTTGTTAGTCGCGAAGTCGTGTCCAACCCATCGTGACCCCATGGACAACATTCCTCCAGGCCTTCCTGTCCTCCACCATCTCCCAGAGTCCACCTAAGCTCACACCAACTACCTCAGTGACTCCATCCAGCCACCTCATCCTCTGCCGTCCCCTTATTCTTTTGCCATCTATTGTTCCCAGCATCAGACTCTTCTCCAGGGAGTCCTTCCTTCTCATTAGGTGGCCAAAGTATTTGAGTTTCATCTTCAGTATCTGGCCTTCTAAAGAGCAGTCAGGGTTGATCTCCTCTAGGACTGACCGGTTTGATCGCCTTGCAGTCCAAGGGACTCACAGGAGTCTCCTCCAGCACCACAATTCAAAGGCCTCAATCCTTTGGCACTCAGCCTTCCTTATGGTCCAGCTTTCACAGCCATACATTGCAACTGTGAAAACCATAGCCTTGACTATACGCACTTTTGTTGGCAGGGTGATGTCTCTGCTTTTTAGTATGCTGTCTAGATTTGCCATAGCTTTCGTCCCCAGGAGCAAGCATCTTTTAATTTCTTGGCTGCAGTCTGCTCAGCTGGAATACTGTCGCCTCCACTGGCTTTGTTGTTGCTTAGACTTTCTAAGGCCCATTTGACTTCACATTCCAGGATGTCTGGCTCGAGGTCAGTGACCACCCCATTGTGGTTATCAGGGACATTAAGCTCTTTCTTGTATAGTTCTTCTGTGTAATCTTGCCACCTCTTCTTAATCTCTTCTGCCTCTGTTAGGTCCCTGACATTTTGGTCCTTTATCATGCCCATCTTTGCATGAAATGTTCCCTTCATTTCTCCAATTTTCTTGAACAGATCTCTGGTCCTCCCTATTCTATTGTTTTCTTCTATTTCTTTGCACTGTTCATTGAAGAAGGCATTCTTATCTCTTCTAACTATTCTCAGGAATTCTGCACTCAATTGTTTGTATCTTTCTCTTTCTCCCTTGCCTTTCGCTTCCCTTCTTTCCTCAGCTATTTGTAAAGCTTCCTCAGACAGCCATTTTGCTTACTTGCATTTCTTTTTCTTTGGGATGGTTTTAGTTGCTACCTCTTGTACAAGGTCACTGTATATACGATACTTAATAGTAGTATATGTTCTATTCTTTTAAAAAGTTGTTTTAAGTGGCAACAAAGCATTCATATTAAAATTGTGATTCATTGAGTAAAGTATATATAATAAGCTTTCCATTTATCACAGCCAGGTTTTTATTTATATAGCTGGTTAATTTTGCTATTACTGTGTATTCTGCTACCTTATTTTTTCCAGTCTTCACTAGTTGGGCAGTCTTCAGCTTTCCATTTTGTTTTGATTATAACTCTAGCTGCTGTTAGGTATTTAAACAATTCTTCCATATTTCTTGGAAGAGTTTCTAGCACAATACTCAATAGCATACTCTTAGCATTCATAGGAAAATTAATTTTCAAAATTTTCTTTATTTCAGCATGTATTTCTTGCCAATTTTTGACATCACCTGTCCACCGCATATGGTAAAAAGGCCCATCCACTTCCTTGCATTTCCAACATTTTCCAGTGTAATTCTTGTCCATTTTCTCAATATATTTTGGGGTAATATACCAATGAGAAAACATCTGGTACCAGTTTTCTCTTAATGGTTGACCAGCTGTAAATTTTATGTCTTTTGTCCATAAGGATTCTCACTGATGGAGGGATATTTCATCCTCAAAATATTTTATACATATTTTAACTCATTCAGTTTCAGTATCATATTACAGTAATCGCTTGTAAACCTGTCCTAATAAATGATATTTCAGCAGTAAAACAGCAGACCTTTTACAGCACCTCTGCCTATTTGAATTTCCCTTTTCAGCCTTGAAACCAATTTAAAAATAGAGAAGCCATTGTATCTTTTTTTCTTCTTTTAATTTTCGTCAAGGCTTAATTCCTCTTTGTTGATCTTCTCCATGTATTATAAACTCATTGCTTTTCCTAACATGCTTATCATAATATGCTTCATCACAGGAGACACTGCAGGACTGATTCTTCTTCTTGTTGAATACCAAATTCTTATAAAACTATCTCTGATTATGTGACTTGAGTTTTGTGTTAGATCTTTTTTGGTTGATTCCTCTATTTACAAACAGAGGAGAAAATCCAGGAAAGGATAAAGAAAGAAATTCCCATCTTAAACCAGTAAATGTGGCCAGGAATATCAGAAATTAAAAAGGAGATACAAAAACATTCAAAAGAAATTACAAAAATTAAAAAGGAAACAGGAAAGAATTGAAGTACAAGAAGGACAAGATTCTGAAACTGAAAGAATGAACCAAACAATTGAAATTTTGGAAGTCCAAAGTAAATATAATAATCTTCAATTTAGAGGAGACCCTGAAGATTTTGATAGGAAAAACCTTGAAGACAGTTTTCATAAGTTTTTGCAAGGTTATTCAAATACTCAAGGAAATTTTCCTGACATTCATTGGATTCTTAAAATAAACTCAACCGTCACACTTAAGAATAAATTACCTCACAATATACTGGTTAGGTTCACAAACAAGAAAACCCAAGATGCTATTTCAAACAAAGAGAAGTCCCACTAAAAACAACTGGGAAAGAAGTTCAGATTTTTCAAGGTTTACCAACAAATCCACTATGAAAAAGAAAAGACTTTGATTTCTTAAGGTAAATTTTACAATGAAAAATATAAGATACCATTGAAGGGTAGGGAGTAGGGAAGGGTAGTAAATAAATAAATCTCAGGCCAGTGCAGTAACAATGCTCTAGATCTTCTTGCCAGGGGCAAAGGGGCCGCCTTAAGTGAGGACAATGATGCAGGGGCCGTACATGAGCTACTCCTTCCGTAAGAAATCTGCAACAGATACCTTGGTGCGGATGACGTTCTTGTCACTTTCAATCTCAGGCATGGTATCAAAGTCACTTTCTTCTTCCACAGAGCTGTCTGTTTCAGAGCCGCAAGGTGGCCTGTGCTCCAGAGATGATAACTGCTGGCCTCCGCTGGAGCTTGACTCATCTGAAAGCAATACAGGCATATTGAGCGTATGAGGGAATGTTCTTTGGAGCATAAGCCACATGAGCTAATGGCTCCTGAGCTGCAACTCAAGGAAAAGGGAGGGCATAAAAGTTTTTGTGGCCAGGGCTAGGAGGAGGTGAGGTGTAGGAAGACAGCCCAACTAACCCTATTATAGTAACTGGCACCTGTGAAGCCCCTTCCGTAATGCCAGGTGTCCCTCTGACAGAACTGGAACAGCCGAATGACAAATGCAGGACCTTCAGACTCAGCCAAAGAGCCTGACTAGGCATCAAGTAAGTTCATCTAAGGAGCATTTCATATCATACCCTGTTCACTGCACTTTAGACCTCCCAGCTCTTCCCTGCAAGCTCCAGTGCCTTTTACTGAACTGCTGCACTTGCATTCTGCCTGAATCTCTACTTGCTCCTTCTTTCCTGCTGTCCCCGGCACAGCAGCCCCGGAGGCCCATCAGTACAGGGCACTGAGAGTCTCACTCCTAGCTTGGACTTTCTCCACCTTGGCCTCCACCTTGGAGAACAAGAGACACCTTCAACTGTACAGCTTATCGTTTTGAAAATGGAATTCAGCGACATAAGATCCAGACTGCACACTCTCATTTGAATAACCTGGAAACAACCAGCAATGACAAAATGCAAAGTCCTAAATTAACTGTTCATGAACCTGGGAAGAAAACCTGCTCTATGAAGAGCTAGTGTCTAGGGTGATGAACGAATGAGTAAGACTAAAGGTAGTGAATGTTACAGAGTATCTAAAACCATGAAATGTCTGTCTGAATAGCATACACCTGCAACATGTATTCAACATTGATGCATGCACATATATCGCCATCTTGAAAATGCTGCCATCTTGAATGGGTGACTGACTTTCCTTGGAAGACTGAACACATTCGATCTTTTACTGTTTTAAAACTCTCACCAACTTTTGGAGATAATATGTAAATTTACTGACATTTTCAGCTAAAATGAAACACCAAGTCTCACAGATTTTAACTGAAGAGTGTTATTCATCGTCTTAAATCCTTCAGCTGAAGTTGAGGCACTGAAGCACTGACCTTTGGCTGCAATGTGCCATATTTTTTATTTGACTTGCCATCAGAAAAATAGTTCTTTTGCTCTATTTGAATGCAGGATTCCACTATGATGACAAAAAACATTACTTTAAACTGAAGCTTAACCTCATCAGTAAAGACTACCTTACTGCGCAGGTGAAAAGAAAAGAAAAGCCACAGAAGCAATAGCTTAAATCAGGAGTGCATGAGTTATTCTGGGCATGAGGGCCACACTGGTTGTCTGCTGTGCGGCAGGACCACACATGGGCAAACACACCAGTCACACACATTCTCAGACCATGCACATACCACTCAAACACATTCACATTCTCGTGGCAACAGCAGTTGCTCTATGTCCCTGCATCAAGGTGTCGAAGCCCCCACCACTTCAACCTAATTGACAGAAAGAAAGGAAAATGCTCAGCATTGGGCTCTACGGTTACTGCAACAGAATTGCCAGGATGGGCAGCTGGCAAGCCCAGAATCACACACTTTCTCTTTAAGAATCTTAAAAGAGAACATTTTAAGGTGATCAGCACCCAAACTCTCTCTAACAGACACCCCATCCACCCACTCACCCATTCACATACATACCTCACTCTGTCACCCCATTCTCTCTCCCTCTTCAGACATTCCCTACTGGTCTCCTAGGGTTGGCCCTAGGATAAAAAGCACCCTGGTCAGCTTACAATGTCTTCTATATTTCTATATAGACCTTTATAGCATGTGAAGATCATACTGCTTTTTATGGTGCTCTGTAAATATTCTTCTCATTTTTATCTTGAACAAATGCTATTCAACTAGAAACTGAAACAGGAAAATACTTAAAGCCAACTAATATTCATTTTATAGTTAATATCCAAACAGCATGAAAAACTTTGATGAAGGTGTTAACATTTTCAGTCACTGCTTTAGTTGCCTCTGCTTTTGTTGAGGACTAAGCTAGCACACCAGCAGGCTCCTAGGTTGTCCACGCCTAAGGCTAACCTTGCCTTCCATCAGGAAGGGAATCTGGGGAAGCTTTGGGAGCCAGCACTCCCCCCCCCCCCCGGTGAAAAGTGTAGAAGGCACTTTTCCCCAGGTGAGAGGGGCTGGACGATGAGCTGGGTTAGGGGGCAGGGCTGAAGAGAGGCTGTGGGTTGCACTGCAGTGCTGGGGTGGCAACGCCTGACCCTGACATATGAATGAGGCAGTTTTGCTCCTTCATGGCAGACCTTCACCTGTGTGTAATCCAGATTATATTCCACCTGCTATATCTTGTTCTCCCCCTTTCTCATCTCCCGTTTTGACAAGCACATTCCATTTTCCACATCTTACTGTCACCTCCTTTAAGCAATTGTTCACAAACAGTAATCACAGAATCAGTGCTATCCTATCTCCCCTCAGTCTTTTCCTCCCGAGGTTAAAAATGCCCAGTTTTTTTATTCTCTCCTCATAGGGCTCTGTTTCCAATCCACAGACTATCCTTGATGTCCTCCCCTGAACACTTGCAACAATGCAGTTGGTTTCTTTTTCCCAGGTGCAGAACTTGGCATTTGTCCCCACTGAATTTCAGTGCAGTGCTCCAACCTTTCAAGGTCACCTTGAATTTTGGTTCTATCTTCCAGGGTATTAGCTAATTCCACCTAGTTTTGTTTCATCTGCAAATTGGATAATCATCCCCTGCACTTCCTCATCCAAATGATTAATAAATATGTTGAAAAGCATCGGGTCCAGGACTGAATCCTGTGGTACCCCAATTGTTACCTCTCTCCAGTTCGAGAAGGAGCCATTGATGAGCACAGTTTGAGTCCAATTCCGTAGCCAACTGTGGATCCGCCTGATAGTTGTTCTGTTTAGGCCACTGTTACCTAGATTGCTAATCAGTGTATCATAGGCTACTTTGTCAAAAGCTTTCCTAAAGTCAAGATAGATTATGTCCACAACATTGCCATAGTCCATCAGGAAGGTTACCCAATCAAAAACCGAAATTAGAATAGTCCGGCAGGATTTGTTCTTGAGAAATCTATGCTAGTTTCTAGTAATCAGTGCACTGCTTTCAAGGTGTTTGCAGACTGACTGCTTTATAATTTGCTCCAGAATTTTGTTTGTTTAGAAAGCTTCTATGCCGCCCCATTTGCTGAGGCCTCGGGGCAGCTCACAACAATAAATTTTCCCAGGAATTGATGTCAGGGTGATTGATCTGTAGTTCCCAGGTTCTTCCTCTTTTCCTTACATGAAGATGGGGACAACATTAGCCTTTCTCCAGTCATCTGGCACTTATCAACCTTGAGCTGCCATTGAACACCACATGCTTTATACTCTAGCTTTCTTCCTATGTTTGGAATACTTTTACTGGGCATTGTTAGAGCTGCTCTGTTGTGATGTATAAGGCTTTGTCTGTTGTTACACCCAGGTGTACTTCTCCCTCCCCTGTAGGATTCAGTTTAAGCCTTCCTGATAAACTTTATCATGCTGATGCCAAACACATTATTTCCAGTCCTTGTAAGGTACAACTCATCCACTTCCAACAGTCCATCTTCCAGGAAGGGTAGCCTGTGGTCCAGAATTCAAATCTCTCACTTTAGCACCACCTCATAGCCAGGCATTCACTTGGAGTATCTTTCTTTCCCTGTCTATTGCCCTTCCAAGAACTGGAAGGATCAAAAGGATTATCAGGGTTCCAAAGTTCTTGACTTTCCTCCGTAAAGCTTCAAAATCAGTTATGCTTTCAAAGCTCTGCTTGCCACTGCCATGTCTTCCCACATGTATACGAAAGAAGAGATACTTGTCAGTGGACTTTATGAGCCTTGGTAATCTTTCAGCTATGTCATCAATCTGTCCTCCAAGGACACAGCATATCTGACAAGTCCGCGAGTCTCCCTGATATACATGTGCTTCCATCCCACACAAGAGGGAGTCTCCCACAACTAACATTCTTATTTTCTTGTTCTTGCAAGCCTTAGTATTGTTGTTACTACTTGGCTGACCTTTAGCCTCATGTTCAGTGTTGCATGGGATGTCTTGCAGTTCCTCCACAGCAGGCTGCCCTCCAGTCACAATCTTGACTAAATGACAGCAGTCCCATAGTTCCACTGGTGCAGAGTGTCTTCTAGTTCTTCTGCCCTGTCACCCTTTTCCAGGGAGTTTCCTCCTCATTATCCCTTCCCTCAGGATTCTCCTTTTCTGCCTCAGTGTGCTATTGCACTTCTAGTTTCTGTACTACTCTTAGCTGTTGCTCTGTCTAAAAACTCATCTTTTATTTTGTTGAGGGCGGATACTCACTGCTCTAGTGCTCTCACCTTTTCTTCTAACAGGGCGACTAGCTACACATGTAGGCCATGTTGCCCTCAGGCAAGAAAACAAGTATTGCACAGACTGTGCAGGTCACCTCCACGGGGGGAGTCTTCTCGGTCCGTGCTTTCTACTGCCTTTTTGATTAGAGCTTGCTTGGTAACAAATTATTTTGCTTCGCAACAACCAGTGATTTCTCCTGTCTTCCCTGAAGGTTAACAACAGAGCCCTACCAGTAAATGGTAGTGTGTTACAAGAAAGAAAACAAAGGGGGGACAAAGGGGGGGAAACTAAGGGGGGAAATGTTAGGGCCTTCTCCTGTCAATCTCCTGTTAGCTCTCCCTGTTCACGCGCTTTGATTTCTCATTCTCTGGGGGCTTGGTCGCTTGTACCCAGCCAGTGGTCCCTAGACCAGCTGGGGCAGCTTCTTTTGATCTGCTCAGCTAGGAGTCGGGAACCAGAATATAGTAATATAATATTACTATAGTAATATAGCTATTTTACATATCCAGGGTGGCCACATGCGGCTCTTTGAGTTTATTTTCTTGCTCACTGCTTGCTACCCCTGCCTCCACCCACAGGTGCCTGCTTGTTGCTCTCAGACACCTGACTTTTACCATATGTGGCTCTTCCATGGAGCAAGTCTGGCCATGCCTGTTTTATATACAGTAATATAAGATTACTATCAGTTGAACAGACTGTAATGACATATCTAATAATGTCTTTGGCATTCCAGAGTTACCATACCAATAGCTCCGTAGCTGCTTCCCTCTGGGGTGCTGGCAGTGATAGGATGAGAGGCAGCCACAGTTCCAAATCCTACAATGGAAACAGACAATGAATGGCCTTATCAGACAGGCCAAAAGCCCCCACAGGCCATCAGCAACAGAGTGGCTTCAAAGACCCTTGCTTAAAACAAAGAGCAGACTCTTCTGCAAAAAGCATTGCCTGAGGGTGGCTTGCTCAGCTCGTCCCCAGTGGGGATCAGGTGACACCCCACCACTCACCTTGCTAAGGCCTCCAGATACAAGAATGAGGGTTCTGATGAGGATAGGAGAAAGGGGGAGCAGAGGGCCAGAGAGGCTGGCCATGGGTAAAACACCAATCCTGCAATTAGCTGGTTCTTTCCAAAGGGCATCTCAGGAATGGGAATACTATTTTCCATGGTGCTAGCACAGAACAATTTCCCTTCACCTGCAGTAGGACTGCTGACATACTCATGAATAAAAGACTGCTCATAAGCAAGGGAATACTTACAAGAAAAGCAAGGAAGGCAGGGAATAGACAAGGCAAGGATGCTACATATGGACAAAAAAGGAGTTGTATAGTTCTGCATGAGAGACCCTTAAGCATCGGAAAAAAGGAACTGCATAAGAATAGCCCCCTCCCTGGAAGAAACCAATAGGCTTGAGGCCAGTCCCTAGCCCAGGCTGGCTTCCAGATTCCAGGCAACCCACGGTCCTGGAATCTAAGCCAATCACATCTGAGGCTCTCATCCTGAACTGCGAAGAAAGAACCCTAAACTGAAGAAAGACTAAAGGGGCTGGTGAAGGACAGTTTGCCTGCCAACCTCTGCCTCTCTTTATGTGGACACAGGGAGCCATCACAAGAAGCAAAGCAGCTCCAGCCTTCCCCACACAGAGAACATACAAAGGTAGGGCATATGAATCAGCTCTCAGCATTCAGCTCGTGTGTGCCTATACCCGGGTTGCATACATAAAGAACCCTGAGCATGGTGAGAGCTGAAGCATTTACTAGGGAAGTGCGATGCTGGGAATTCCATTTCATTTGAGCTCAAAGGCATTCCTTAGCGTTTATGGCAGACTGTATCAGACATTCCCCCCATTCTGTAAAAATGTTGTACGTTTCTTTCAGGTTGCACAATTAGTGCAAATCATAGAACAGTAGACTTGGAAAGGGCCCTGCAGATTCCACTCACTTCCACTTGTCAAACTGAAGTGGAAGAGAGAATTAACAAGTTCTTTGACAAATAAGGAATATGACTCTGCTAGCTAAACAAAACACTGTGTGGAAAGGATATAACCAGCAAGGATATTTACAAGAGGAGAACTTCTAAGACTGCACTTTTTAAAAAAGACACAATTTGCTCAAACTTCAAAATCTTAGCCCCTGAAATTTGCTCAAATGGCCACCATAAAATGGCCACCAGTGGTGATGAAACATAGCAACCCCCCCCGCAAAATCTGACCAAACAAAAAAAAGTGTCAAATTTTCATCTCTTCAAATGGAGTTCTCAAATATTTGCATCAAGTGTATCTAACTGCTTCAGTTCAGATGCTTAAGTTTTTTGAAGAGTCATACAGAATCATTCATGGGCTACATAAGTTTGCAAGCTATATATGCAGCCAGTGCATTCTTAACAAGTTTTGATAAAACAAAGCTGGTTTCTACAGCACCACTTTCTTAAAATCAATGATCAGAGAATCCCAAAGAGCAACAGACTGAGGAGAAAAAAGGAATAAAAGGCAATCAAGCCAAAAGTATGCATTGCATGGTGATGAGTCTCAGCAATGCTTTCTGTTTTTACTACTACATTTTGCAGCTGCTTCTGGGTCTTGATTCAAGGGACTTACAGTTTTTATGTGTAAAAGTCAACCTTCAGTCCTGAGTACACATGAATTAATAGCTTCAACATCCACCCTATGGAAGCATAACCAGCACCAGGACTAGTGGATGCCAAGCCAACAGGAGCAACACTCCTATCACAGATGGACAAGGGGTGCACCATCACAGAGATGACTAATGCTGAAGAGGCAGCTATGGATGCCAGAGCCAAAGAGAGCCTCAACGCCATCTCCATGGTCTTGGGGAGAAAATCAGGCTTTGCAGCTATTCATGTACTTCACAAATGGGAGCCCTGAAATAAATATGCTCATTCTGCCTCACCAGCATTGTGAACTGCTGGGCAGTGCTGAGAACCTTACTCTTGTGAGACTTCTCCAAGAAAGAAAGGCAGCAGTTGTGGTCATTGTAACACAGAGTCTCCTCCTTGGTAGAACAACAGCTATTGTGCTGCTGGCCCATGGCTGCCAGTCAGAGAGGTCACAAACTTTTCTAGAAACTGAAACAAGGGCCAAGAGTCCACAAAAAGAATAAATAAGAGAAAGAAGCAAAGAAAAATATTATACATCTGACAAAAGCTGCAGCAATATTGTGGAAGGATTCTCTGCAGCTGCTCTCATGAACACATTAGGTAAGAACTGAGGACAAAGGCACTTCATTGTGACACATAGGTGGGCACCTTCCCTTTCTTGGAAAGTGGGATGAGCATCAGTTCCCTAACACTCAAGACATTTCTGAAGCTGGCCTGGGGCTTGCATGGACCCCACAAGTGGGCCTTCACAGAAAGCAGAGAAGAGAACAGAAGTAATCCTGCCCCTGCCCCACAACTAGGGTATCACAGGATTTCTGCTGTTAGCAGAAGACTGGACACAATGACCCATGAAGTTTCTTCAGCGGTAATAGCACTTTGTGCCAAAATATTACCATCATTGGGACTGTGTCCTCCAGCTGAAGTCTTCCTATGACTCCTGAAATCAAGCAAAAACATGGCTAATTACTCAGCAAAACTAAACAGCTCTCACCTATATAAAGTAAGTAAAAAGCCCAAAACCATCACCTATAAAGTAAGCGGCCACTGTCCATTTACGGGGATTTCTAGACTAGATTTCTAACCTGACATTTTACTGTTCCTTCTGTTTCTAGATTTCACTGGATACTCACATAGTGGGGTTTGGTTTTTCCCCTTATGCTAGGTAACCTCTAGGTGGCACTCTGCCATCAGCAGAACTGTGCAACTAGGCTAGACTAGCATCCCAAATGCCGGATTTTCTGGGGTCAAAAAAAACCCCATTATAATGCTTGGAAAGTTTGGGAGATGCCTGGAAGATTATCACATCATCCACAGCACCTGCTAAGTGAGGCACGGCAAGTGCCCAATAAAAGAACTGTCTAGAAATGCTCTAGGTATAGAAGAATGGTTTAGAAACCAAATGGACCAATGTTCTGGTGCCTTACAGCTTGCTTATAGCACGCCCTGTGTAAACTGAAAGAAACATGGTTAACGTCCTTTAACAAGTGAGACAAAAGCAGGATACTAGCATATATTTGCTAAAGGTCTGAATCTAATCTTTGCTTCCATTGTGCATAGAAATCTCTCCCTGGAGATTATGCATTTCTACTGCTTTACGCAGAATCCACACCGATTAACAAGGAATTTGAACCAAAGTAACACTGGAAAGAAATGCACACTTAATGCACTCTTTCTCCGGGAACAGTAAGAACCGCTTGGCAGAATTGGGGAGGGAGGGGTATGGGGCTTTCTACCTTGTCCAGGGAGGGGTTACAGTAGACTGGTCAGTAAGCTGCACAAGTAATAAATAGCTCATATGCACAAAAGCATAATAACCATGCTCTAAAGGACACTGATGTCTGAACTATGTTAATGTAATAAGCCTACTTTGTTTTGGAAGAGAATACAGAGAGTTACATTAGAAACATAAAGGGAAAATGCCTTTCTAGACACGTCTAGCCATCTCTCATAAAGAACTGAGTACAACTTCTTGCTTGCCCCTCTTCTCTTGATTTCCTGGAGGGTCTGGCATAACATTTGCAGAATGAGACAGAGGCTTGCCCTCTGTCTGTTGAACTTGAAATGCTTCACCCACCTGATACACTGCACAAATGCCACCAGCAGTGCAACCAGATAAAATGAGAAGAAGCTCAGAAAGCTGAAAAGGATGGCACGCACGTAAACAGAACCTGAGGGAAGAGAATGGGTCCAATATCAGCACAGGAAAACCCACCTATCTCCTATTATGCCTCTTTCTCCTAAAACCTCCATGTGTCTTCCCAATCTCCAGAGGCTCTCTTTCTACGAGAACAGCAAGCAGCACTGTAAATACCTTGCTTCGTCCTCCATTATGCAAGTGCTTACTTTGCTCCTGCAGCAGGTCAGACCAACACATAACCCAGGCTCTGACTTCAGTCCTACAATTGAAATCGATTGGGAAGGAGCTGGTATACCTGATGGCACTCTACCTCGTCCCCCACTTCCTTCTGGTGTCTACACTAGGCATAATGTACACCCCTAACAGGTGCTTCTAAAAGAAAGACAAGTGCATGAGCTGAGAAAGGTCATCAAGTGAGACTGGAGCAACTGTAGAGGGGGATTGTGACTCATTCCTCTCCTGCTGCAGCCCTGAGGAAAATCGCTCTTCTATTTGCATTGGCTGGAAATGCCAGTGCAGGGAGTCCCCACCTCACTCTGCAACGCAAACGTTAGCTTCAGAAAAGGGGTTTTGCTCCAGATGGCCATAGAGGAGGGAAAGGTTTAAATGTTCCTCCATGTTCTCAGTGATCTTAATCCCTTTCCCCTGCACCTGCACATGAAATGCAAAGGCACATTTAAGGTCAGGTTTGGTTTGGCCCCAGAAAAATAATGGCTCCATGCTTGGCGGCCATGTGGTACTAATCTTAAGAGAACGGATCTGTGCAGAGCTGACTGATCTGTCTGAGGCTGATCCTGTGAAGACCCAGAAATACTGCCAGGAACCTTTAACTGAAGGTGTAACTGTCACTTCAAACGTCTTGATTCGCTTGTGGAGCAATGTGCTGTTAGCTGTTCCTGTAACAAGGAGATCAGAAAAATGTCACGCAACAACTATTTAAGGTCTATTTTGAACAGTACAATCTGCAGCACTGTATGATCCCTCACCAATTTGGGGAAGATGCAGAAATGGTTATTCTCTGTCCTTTTTGGAATAATGCTGCGGATGTTTTAATCGTACAAGAAAAGCAGCATACAAATGGGCGAATGAAATCAACAAATGCTAAAATTATTGACAAGACTTGGAGTAAGCAGGGGGAACATTACTTGACCCAAAGCTCTCTTGTCTGGTGGGAACTTGTAGGGGCTGCATGTCTGTGGGGGGCGGGGGGAACTAAAAACAAATTGGGTGCGCTCACCACTGGGACTGAGAAGGCTTTGCACCACTTCGAAGCATGCAAGGCATCTCGAGGCAACAACCACCCACCCCTGCAATCTTCCTTCTCTTGGTATCACGCTTTCCTGAAGGATGAGGTTTTGGAGGAAGAATCTTAGCATGCCAGATCAGAAGGCTTGGTAGAGCTTTGCACAAATTAAATTGAAACAAACCAGCATGTAACATATACTCCTTTGGGAATATTTTACTGCATACATTAATAGAAATACTTCCAGTTTGTTAGTATGCAAAATTCAAAGAGTGCTATGGCTCAGTGCTATCCTGAATTATTGCAGCAGATGACAAAAAATGTATTTGAAACCCCCTGCCTTCCATCAGTTAACGCTTTTTTTGTTCGCTGGGAAGCAGCCAACACTGCACTGTATGTGCCATTGCTAAGGGAAGGAGATACGGGCAACTTGCTTAGATGAGCCAACTGGGATAGCACTCACTTGTATGTCCAAATCAATAGCTCACTGGAAAGTATGTAATGCAGAGACAAGACATTACATTTAAAACACCTCTTTAGATACCCTTACTAATTTCAAACTCTGCCCAAGAGAAGCACTCTGCTCTTGCCAGCCAGAGCCATCTTACCTTGAACCGAGGCTGGCATCGAACCCCCACAGGCATAGTCCTCTGGCTTTATAACAAATACAATAAAGAACTGCTTGCTTGGGAAGTCCTTTTTCTGCATCAGACAAAAACAAATTTCATTTTTAAGGCTGGATTTTAAAAACAACCATCAGAAACAACTTCTGTAGCTCTGAAGTATATGGTAGGCATGTCATGAGCGGAGCCAGCTGGAGCCGGGGAATTAGACTAAATGACCCAGGAGGCCCTTTCTGACTTGCTCTGTTTTTGTGTGTCTATGAAGTAGTGCCATCATTTTGTAGGAAAGCGTTGATTGTTGCTTTTGCAGAAGGTAGCAGGTAATTGTCTTTTTGCAGCTGACTATTCTCGAATGAAACATAAATGTGGAGGGGAGAAAGAGATAATTGGCTTGGAAGAAAGTTTGCTACTTCCTATCTCATCCTCCCAGTAGTTTTATGAGAAAGGTGGTCATAGGGCAAGGTGAAGTCAGAGAGGAGTGAACTAGTGAACTTGTACTTATAAGCATACAGGCATAATAGGTTGGTGAATATTAACTCACACACCCTGAATAAACAATGAGCTAATTATAATGCGCATGCAATGTATGTATATGCACGTAATGGGATCAGACAGGAATTGCGTGAAGTAGGTGGACAGAAAGGCTATGCACCCTCCAGTACCCAGCAAATGGGGGGGAAGGGGAGGCTTCTTGTGGATGGAGAAAGGGAATGAAAAGAAATGGTGAGCTATGCTTGGTGTGCTTGCTCTGTGTGGGATACCCGCCATTGCAATCGCAATGATAAACTTAGTGCTGCTTGAATTTGTGTCATGAATTTATTCTCTTGAGGAACAAAGTACAAGAGCGAGTCTCACAATTTCACGACTTGATGCATGCCCTGCCCACCTTGTCCAGGGCTGCTGAAGATCAGTGGCCCCTCAGCTCCCGATCTTTGCTCTGCCTGGCAGGAACTGGGTCACAACACCTCTGCTTGCTCTCCCAAGTCATCTGTGGTCTGCTCTGATCTGGGGCAGCTTCAATCACACGTGAGAGACTCCAGGGCTTCATCCAGGAATCTCCCAACCTTTTGTGGCTGCGACCAGATGCACTTAATCACCATGAATAACCCAGGACAGGTAGGAAGGGCCGGAGTACATCATAAAGCATTTCTCCCTCTACAAGACTTCTTTTGTGGTGCCCCCACCCCCCAGCCCTGGAAGGCTCTTGCCTCTCTTCACTGCTATCTTTTTACCACCAAGTTAGGACCTTCTGTTCTCCAGGATTTTAATACTTCTTAAATTATTTTAGTAATTTTAGTGTTCAACAATGCAATTTTCAGAACTATCACTGGTATTTACTCACAAGTAAGAGGATAGGAGAGCATAAGCTGATTATTTTCATTTCTGCAATCTGGTGTTAACCCTTCTGTCTCATAGTCATTTTAATTGTGCTGGCATGTTTATTAGTTTTATAGGGTAGATGGTTTTTAATTGGGATTTTTATATTTTTGCAAAAAAATTATTTATGTGCACTAAATAGTTTAGCTATGCTTAGTTTATGTTCCTTTAGTCCTGGGAATTCAGGGCTCGTGGCTGCTCCGGTGCCCCCAAATACTTCACCTCCCAATTCTTAAAAGAACACACCTGTAATTTCTGTTGCTTTTTAAACCTGTGTGGTTGGAAAGTAAAGCATTGGCCAAGAACTCACTAACCCTCCCTTTGCTTTCCCTGGACTGCTTCTCAGCCCCATGTAGGCACAGAGGTTTCATTTTAAACAGAAAAAGGAAGAGGGGAAGCTGAAGGCCTTCCAGCCACCTGCCAAAACACCCGTTTTTGAAAAAATGAAGCTGGGCAAGAGAAAAGCCACTGCTGGTAAGGCACAGGGCCTGTAGAGGGCAGTGGAGAGCTATCTGGGTGCAGCAGAGAGCTGGGTTGTGGGTGGCAGGCAGCAGGCCAAGCAGATGGCAGGGCGGAAAGGGGAGAACGCATGCTTTTGGGAGATGATTCTGAAAGGGAAGGAAATGTGTCACCGTGTGAGCATGTTTCATGTGGCAAGACTGAGAGGGAGAGATTTCTCTGTGCTGGGGCAATCCTGGAGGAGAGGGCTGTGGGTGCAAAGGAATGGTTTTATGTCTGGGGGCTCTGACCACACCTCTGCCTTGTTCTCAGTGTCTGTAGCAAGTTCCTTGTCTCTTTGCCTCCCTAGTTTGCCTTTCTGTGAAATAGGGATTTTGTGAAAAGGCATGCCTGCCAGGACCACCCAGCTTTCCCAGGGTTCCCTGAGTGACAGCGCTCCTGCCACTTCCGCAAGATTCCAAAAATGCCCACTGACCTAAAAGGTTTCCAAGCCCCCAGATCCATGGCCAGCTTCACTCCTTCACTCTTTCCCCTCTGAATCAATAAGGGGAACCCAGCTGACAGAGAGGAAGAAGACAAACACAGACAACAAGAAGTTGGCTTGTGGCTCTCCAATTCCCTCCGGCTTCTCCTGCCTCCCTTCAAACAGCGTTCACGTTTCTTTAGCATGGATATGGACACTGTGAGCTTAATGTGCTGTCTGGCCCTTCGTGTCCTAGGAAGCAATGCTTGCATTGTGTGCACTTGGCCTTCAGCCCCCTTCAGGGAAAGGAACAGATGTGTACAATACCAGCCCATGTAAACTGGATTCCTGCAGTGGGCTAGACTTGATGACTGAATGGCCCCTTCCAGCAAAAGAGAACAGGGGAGGCTAGGAGGTGTGTGGAAGCTCGGAAGGAGAGGGTAGAAGAGGAGAGGAAGGGTCCATTCAGGAAAGGGAGGGGGAGAATGTGAGATGGCTCTGGCCCGGCCTATCGCTGGCTCCAGAGTCCCACCAGTTTTTACCTGAGGGAAAGTGATCCTTACAGTAGGGGCAGAGCTAGTGACTGAAAAAGTTGGGATCAGGCCAATAGGATTAAAAAATGCACACCTTAAAAAAATTAAAAAATGCATACTTATGTTCAAAAATCTCTGTGTGTGGCTTTTTAAAAGATCCTGTCTCCTAAAGCGCTTTGTAACGCGCTTTACATGGGGCTTCCCCTGAAGACAGTCCGAACACTTCAATTGGTGCAAAATAGAGCTGCCAGGTTGCTGACGGGGACGGGGCGTTATGCTCACATGACTCCAGTCCTCCGTCAGCTTCACTGGCTTCCCATTGAAGCCTGGGCCCAATTCAAGGTGTTGATTATGACCTACAAAACCCTAAATGGCTTGGGTCCTGGCTACCTGAACGAGCGCTTACGTCCGTATATGCCCGACCGCCCTTTGAGATCTGCAGGAGAGTCCCTTCTCCGGGAACCCTCCATGAAAGAAATTAGGAGAGTAAGTAACCGGAGGAGGGCTTTCTCTGCGGTGGCACCCAACCTATGGAATTCACTCCCCAAAGAGGTCCGCCTGGCACCGTCGTTACTGGTTTTTCGGCGCCAGGTAAAGACCTTTTTATTTAAACATCATTTCAATTGTTAAAACATATGATCTGGCCTGGGCAACTTCTTCTTCCTTCTCTTTCTCATCCTATATTTTTATTTTATACTGATAATTTTAATTTTGTATTTGTAAATCAATGTATTTTTTGTATTTTTATATTTAATGGTAATTTATTATGTACTATTGTATTTCAATGTATTTTATCATGTTGTAAGCCGCCCCGAGGTTTCGGCAAGGGGCGGCATAGAAATGTTATAATAATAATAATAATAATAATAATAATAATAATAATAAAGGCATCTCTATTTGTAAAAAGAGATATTCAGACTGGGGGGCAGGGGAGGGCTTTGATTTCAGGAAAAAACCTTGGCAGAAATATTCAAGGGGGGCAGAAGCAGAAGGTGAGACACATGTGCACAGAAAGCCAGGAGACTCAGATGCAACCGAGATCATTACTGTATATGATGCATCTGTATCTTTATCTCAGCAAGTGCCTCCAGGCAGCAAGGTGGAGGATGGGGCAGTCTCTGAAAAATCCAGGTGTCCAAATGAAGGATTCGGGGCTCCAAGCCTAGAGGCCTGATCCCCAACACTCCCCTCACAGAGGAGGGAGTGAGGTAGAAGATTCCCCCGTATGTCCCTAAGCCAGAGGTTTTCTGAATGCAGATTATCCTATATCCTATAAGTATGTGTGAAACAGCAACAGTTGGTTGATGAGATCAAAGAGAAATAATGCAACTGAAAGCAACCCAGGAAAATGGCTTAATGGACAGCACCCTCAACTCACCTGGACAGTGATGGCAGCCTGTTTTGTCATGGATTGGTAAACGCCATTAAATTCCACATTGTGGTCCAAATCATAAACGGGACACTGCAAAGATGGATAAACTTATTCCCAGTGCTGTGTTAACTGCTCTATTACTGTTAGTCTGCACAAAGCATTTCCTAAGCTGCCACTGTGCACTGTAAAGAATACAATGAATAATGTTTTCTGCAGGGCCTGTTCAGAGGAAAAGTTTATCTGGCTGTATCTTTGAGGAGAACAGGTGGAAACTCACCAGTGCTGAATGCACTGGCAAGAAGAACTTAAATTCAAACACTAGGCAGAGAGATGGAAGTGCCGATTGTCCTAAGCATATTGACCTTCTTGTGGGACACTTATTTCCATGGGTTGTTTGGTATAAACATTTGTCATAGTGGTCCCAGAGAGCAAAAGATGCCAAACAGGTTAATCCAACTCTTTTCCTGACAGTCACTGTGTTACAGTAGGAGCAGTGTTCTGATCTTAGTCAAATCATTTTCTTTCCAAAGTTTTGTATTACCAAGAATAGCTTTATTGATCATCTGTTTATAATAACCTATTGATGTTAGTAATGAAAAACCAGTAATGAAAAAAGTTTACTTTTAAACATATGCCATATGTTAAACTGATTCCCAAGACAGGGTTTTTCTCTAAGCATAACCAAATTCTTTTTGTTGCAAAATCAATGAGCATCTTTAATGTCAGTTGTTGATTTATGCTGCTCTATCTTTGACTCCTTATTCAGTATGAACCATGATTGCAATAAGGTCAACATACAAACGAATACAGAGGAATGCTACATCCCTAAATGACATGGTTGATAATATTTATTTAAAATGTTTCAAAAAAGCAGGTTGAAATAT